GAGTTAACTTATAGCATTCCCCTATAAGTGCTTTCTGAGTGATTCCTTCTGCCACAGAAGCCTTGGAAAAAGGGGAAAATAGCCCTTTTAGAAAAACAATTGGTTTTGAATGTGGCCAAGCCAGGCTCTGCTCGGATTTGGGGAATTAAATTGGGCTAGTAATTTCCCATGTAAACCACATAGGATTTGTGGGAAAGTAGAAATGGGGACTTGGCAAAATATCTACCATACCAGGAGTGAGGTTCCATAAACTGTTTAGTGGCCCTCAGTTGTGCCCATCTGGAATTGACCTTCTGACTTCCCTTCCTGAAGGGCCAGCTGGTCCTTGTATTCTCTCAGAACTCTGCTAACAACATACACACACTGGTCCTGTGTAGGCCCTGTGCCTAACCTGGGCCAATATGATAAGCAAGGATGTTCCATGTACAAGAAATTCAGGGCAGAGGGAAGACAAGTCAGGTCCCCAAGTTTCGTAACATAGGGTAACGGGGATGTAAGCAGGGATCTATCCAGTTGAGATGGGGAATAGAGCCCATTGGCACCAACTGATTCCCTTCTGCCCACAGCACAGTGAGTGTGCAGGACATCCAGGCGCATCTGGCACAGGGCCATGTAGCCATCGTGCTCGTGAACTCAGGGGTGCTACACTGCGACCTGTGCTCTAGCCCCGTCAAGTACTGCTGCTTTGCACCCAGTGGCCATCGCTGCTTCTGCCGTACCCCTGAATACCAGGGCCACTTCATTGTTCTGCGTGGTTACAACAGGGCCACCGGCTGTATTTTCTACAACAACCCAGCCTATGCTGACCGTGAGTGCTGGGGTCAGGGTGGGCCAAGGCGGTATGCATTCTCTGTCCCCTATGCCCGGCTCCCACAACTTCCTCCTATCCAGCCTGGTATGACCACAATCTCCCTTGCTGCCTTTTCCCCAAGGCCTCTACTACTCCTGGGCTCTTGTCATCGGGGCTACCCCTTTTACCATGTAAGCAAACTAGCCACAAACTTGCACCAGTGCTGGCCTCTGGCCACCCCACTTTTCCACTCCACTGCTCAGGTCCCTGCCTCAATAACTTATGTTGCGCAGGCTGCAGTCTCCACTCCATCCTTCCAGGACAACCAGTACACTTATTAGAAAGTCTGTCCAACCTCACCCTTGTTCCATGCTACCTACTACCCTCAGGGTACAGGGACAGACTTTCCTGACCTGTCCATGTGTCCTGGAGCATGTTTTTTCCTTTCTCTGGGCTTTGCTTTCTCCATTTGCTATACTGAGGAAGGGTCAGAGAAAGAGTTCATGAGGGCCAGTATAGGCAAGGAAGGCTTCCTGGGGGTGGAGGACTTGAGCCAAGAGGTGTGGCCCGGCAGATGGGATGTAGACCTCACCCAACTTCCCTGGGCACTGGTAGGTTGGTTGCTCTCTCCCCACCTACTGATCCCACTCTGCTCTCCCCACTCCCAGCAGGAATGTGCAGCACCAGTGTCAGTAACTTTGAGGAGGCCAGAACCAGCTACGGCACAGATGAGGACATCCTCTTTGTCTACCTGGACAGCTGACAGCAGGAGCCTGTTGTGCCCAGATCCTTGGACCCCAACCCCCAACTTTAGCCAGACCTTATCAGTATGCCCAAGTTGGGGGCTGCTGGGGCTGGAATGCAACACTGCAGCTTCAACCTGTCTGACAAGGCTCTGGGGAACTCTGGGAACTGGCGTAGCTGCTTTGTCAGCTAGTGCTATATGTTGTCATTTACCCCAAGCATCTGGGGGCTCCTGAAGGCTTCTCCAGAGTTCTGAGGGGAGTCTTCCCCAGGATGACAAGCCTAACTCCAACAATGCCCATTGGAAGTCTAGCTTCAAGGATGCCCTTGTTGCCTTCTAGCCAGACCCAAGGTGAGGGGAGAGGCCTGAGGCAGTCTTCCCATAGACCTTAGGACTGAGTCTTGGAGAGAGAAGTCACTTGATCTGATGCTACTCATCAGGACAGCATCTGCATGTTTGGAAGGTGTAGCTGAATTCAAGTCCCTAGAGCTGGAGCACTCCAAACCCAATCTTCTGGAAGTGCTACAGAGCCCCCTGTAACCCATGGTAGATGCCATTACTACCACCTCCTGCCTTCCAGTGGGCCCAAGTATCTGACTGGTTATGAGGCCACTGGCCCCTATCATGCAGTGTAGACACCTCATAGCCATTTGGCTCTGTAGGGAGGAAGGCCCTAGGGAGTGTGCTGGGCACCAGCAGAGAGTGTACCCCAGGAATAAACAGCTACCTGGATCCCAAAGAGCCCTCCTCACCCATGAGGCCTCCTGACACCAGCCTAAATCCCAAAAGGAGGGACCATTTGTCCTCTGGGTGTGGGCAACCCCAGGTCTGTCGGAGCTAGGTGGTAGAGCCTCTACTTGTGAAGCAACGGGCAGGGGACAGTCTGTAGTCTCCAACCCACACTGGTTTTCATGCCAGGACCTTTTGCACAGAATGTTGGATCTCTTCTGTCTTGACAGAGAATGGTGATGACTGCCCAGGATCACACAGCACAGCAAGTAGCATTGACTGGAGCTGGTTTCTTCCTTCATTATTTCCTTCTTTCCTCCCCTCACCCCTTTTTAAATTTTTGTTGTTGTTGGGAGCAGAGGTGTTTTTTTAATTGAAATTTAAGTTTTTACTTTTGCTGGGTGATTATCACCTTTAAGTAAGAATAATAGTGAGATTGCAGGTACTTTGGAACCACTAACACCTCTTTTTTTCAGAGGGCAGGTAAGCCAGCCAGATTTCTTTTTTAAAGTCTGAGCACCAGGCCCCTTGCCTCACTTGAGGAGGAAGTTGGCCCAGGACAGTAGTAGAGCTGGGTCTTGAACTCAAGAGCCCTTCATGGCTGCCTCTGGCAAAAAGACAGGGATACCCTGACAGCCCCACCATCCCTGCACTCCTAGGGCTTGGTCTTCCAGTGCCCAAGGTGTGACGTGGTGGCAGCTGCTTCTCAGGTGTGACATGGTGGCAGCTGCTTCTCCCACACCGACTCTAGCTGGCCCCTCCCTCACCATGGTAGTTCTGAGGGGTGGAGGAAGAGTCTGCTTACCAGTTCTGTGAGACCACCCAGCCACCTTGCTCCTTAACACCAGACAGCTTTGGGCCGAGAGGGTAGCACTATTGGCAAGGCAGCCATCCTGGGTTTCAGAGACTGGTGTTGGCTTTAGTCTGGTCTCATTTCTATTGCCTTAATGCTGGGTGTCCCAAGGTCCTAGGGAACTCTGGCTCCAAGCTCAGGAGTACCATACACAGCAGCTGTGGGGTATGGGTGTCCTCAGGAGAGGTTTAGGTAAAATTGTGGTGAGAATAGCTGAATGAAGGAAACCGATGGGAAGAAGTTAAGTTTTCATGATGACTGCATATGAATGAGGAATAGCACACATGGTGGTGAGCTGTTATGGGGATTAGCCTTCACAGAAAGTGATCACAGCACCTCATCCATCCGGGACATGCTCAGTCTCTGGGCTCAGACAATGGCTTCTCAGGGTAAGTCACATGTTAGAGGTCACCTGTCTGTAAGATTAACAAGTTGTTTGTCCCCAAGACCAGTCTCTCTGAGGAAGGTCACGGAGGCAGGACATCAGCTACACTGTGTTGCATTCTTGCACAAGTCATGACATTGGGGCTGAGAAAAGAGCCTGGACATCAGGGACGTTGCCCACAGCACGTGGCACCCACAATTGCCCAGCCTGTTCTCATGCTTCAGCCCAATGCAGCTTCTGAAGCCAATGGAACAGTAGGCAGCTTTGTTCACTCTAGCTGCAGGGGGACGAAAGGGATCTTTTGCATTGCAGAGATTTTTATACATAAATATATTTTGTTTGTAATGAGCCATTCTCAATAAACACTATTCTCACTGCACAGTGGTGACAGCCCTTGGCTGGCCTTTCTGAGAAGCTGTGTTAATCTGCAGAATTCCTGTCTCCAACCCTCCCTGTACCCTCCATTTCCAGCCTCCACTTATTGGCCAGATAGTGGGTTCTTCTAGGATTCATTTAATAATTTCATTTTAAAATTCCACTTCTGAAAAGGGAAGTGTTTGGTAAATCTGGCATCCTCAGAGCTGTCCTAGGCCCTTGAAGGGGCTGATGGAGCCATAGCCAGCTTTTTCAATATGCCCAGGTCTCCTACCTAATGCCTTTCCTGACTGCTATTTGTCCCTCCCACCCCTCACATTGAAAAGATATATTAATAGACATCCTGACCAAGATCTTGGGCTCTTTGTTTCAAACCGCAGAGCAGCCCTGTACTCACACTTTCATTTGAGCTGACCATTTAAGGAAGCAGTATGAGCTATCATCTATGGGGTACCTAACTAGAATATGCCAGGCAGCATACCAGGTAGACAATGGTAGTGAGCTTGCTCTTTTCTGCACTTGAGCATGAATCCTCAGCTCACTCTAGAGGAAGAGGCCCCATCCTGAATGGGTATTTGTTGGTTTATGGGCTCTGAGTGGCCACCAAATTCAGTTAACAGAATGTGGGAGGTATTGGGGCAGAAATGGCAAAAGAAGATAGGATGGTACAGCCTGGGTGTAGTTGGCTGCACAGAGCATATGGGGTGTGGGGGTGGGCAGTGAGAACAAAAACCAAGGATTCTAATATGAGGTTCCATTGGGAACTAATGGGCTGGTCCAGGGCAGAATCTGAGCCCAAGCTGTAAAACCAGGGGTCAGTACCCAGAGATGAGAGGACACACCACCCCACCTTGCTACTCTATTGTTCAGACTGGTTTTTGGTAGAGCGTGGCACCTCCTTGCCCAGTTGCTATGTGAACTTCCTGTCTATTCACTGTCTTTTGAGGCTACCTCCCTCTTATACCCAGTACCCCTAGGAGGACATTGGGGATCGACCAGTGGACGATGCCACCAGTGGACACTGGACATTCAGTGCCAGGGAGAGGGAAGCGTGTCACAAAACAAGTAGGTTTCAACATTACACATACAATGATCAGTTTTAATAGAATCCATCACACACTGGTTGTAGAAGGTACTGTACAATTTTATTAGCTTTCCATTGCTGTATGACAAATTATCTCCCAAACTTAGCAGTTTAAAACAACAAACAGCCAGGCATGGTGAAGAAGGCCTGTGATCCCAGGGGCTCAGGAAGCTGAGGCAGGAGGAGTTCAAAGCCAGCCTCAGCAACTTGGTAAGGCCCTAAGCAACTCTGCTAGACCTTGTCTTTAAATAAAATAAAAAGAAAGGGCTGGGAACATAGCTCGATGGTTAAGTGCCCCCTGGGTTCAATCCCTGGGACAAAAAGGGGAAAAAATTTTTCTCAATTTCCGTGGGTCAGGAATCTGGGTACAGCTGAGGTGGCACCTCTGGCTCAGGGTTTCTTTTGATGTTTCAATCAAACTGGTGGCTGGGAATACAGTGCTCTCAAGGCTAGAGTGGGGCTGGAGCTCACTCATAGGGATGCCAGCCATAGGCTTCCTGAGTGTCCTCATAGCATAGCAGCGGGTGACATGGGAAGGTGAGCCCAAGAATGCTGGAAGGATAGAAGCCATAGTCTTTAACCTAATCTTGGGAGACGACATCCTCACTTCTGTAGAATTCTACTTATTATAAATGAATCATTGGTCCCTAGATTATCTCCAACATAACAGAGGTCATTGGCCTTGACTCTAAGCACCTGTGTGTCCTTGTCTTTTTATGAAATGAAATGACTCTGGCACAGAGTCAGTGGCTACCAGAGGGTTCCCAAGTGGCTTGTTGGATGGAGAGGCCAGAATTCAATTAGCTCTACCTTATCAGAAATCTTTTATATTCATGGACTCACCCAGCAGAGTATCTGCTGAGATCCACAAGGTATTAAACAGAGAATACAGTTGAAAGAAAGAAAAAGAAATGAATCTAGCATGCACTGGAGATGACAAAGGGCACAAATACCAGGAGGCAAGGGTCATTGGATGTCACGGTCAATGGTTATTTCTACAGATTAAATTTCAGGAGAGAACTAAGTATGCCCCTACAAAGACTCTTGTCTAGCTCATCCTGGGGTATCTTCTTCATAGTGCCAATGGTGAGAAGTTATAAAACAGGGTGCCCCGATTAGACCAGCTTGACAACCAACCACAGCAGGCTACAGTACCCTCTGGGAGATTTAGGATGTAAAAATGAGGCTCTACATTCATCATTTTTTGATGGGGGACCCCATTCATCATTATTTGGCCACAGAGTGTTTTGATGTAACATTGGTATTCCATGAAATATGTTGAAAGTTGGGAAGTCACTTGTCTAGTCCAAGGAGGAGACTGGGGCCCAGAGAGGGGCAGTGACTGGCTAAGGTCATGACTCAATTAGCTAGAGACAGAGCAAGACCCAAACCTGTCATTTGCTGTTTTCCCAATCCTCAGACCAGGCCATGATCAGAAGCAACAACCCTAGTGACCCTGTAGGGGTGAGCCAATTCCAGAAAAGCCAGGAAATGAGCTCCGAGTTTCGAAGCCAGAGACTGGCTGGGCTATTGGCTCTTGGGGACTTCTCCCAGGTAGAAAGAATGGCACTTGGATTGATGGTTGGAAGGAGGTAGAACCTTCAGCTGTCTTCCTGGTGATGCCTCTGACTCAGAGTTTCTTGTGATGTTTCTATCCAACCTGCCTCAGCCTTGGGATCCAAGGACACATATCATGGACTTGTCCCTACCCTCCAGCTTCAGAACAGAATTGAGGAAACTAGGGAAATACTGAGATGTCATCCTGCTGAGCTGCTGGTCCCCAGGGGCCAAGTGATGGGACCAGCATGGAATTGAGTGTTCATGGAAAAACCTCAACGCCCGGAAATGCAAGTTGAAACTCCCACGGTTCCAGACCAAAGGCCCTTCCCGGTGGGCGGTTACTCCTCCCCTCCTGTCTGCCTCTTGACTTCCTCTGCATCTCCTTGGCTGCCTATATACTACTATTCCAGGCTCTACCCCAAGAAATCTTTTGCCTTTTACAGCCCTGGGAGATCTGGTGAAGTAGCCTTCCCAAGCTGTTTAAAGCCTCTTAGTTTACCAGGGCTTGAGGTCTACATCTTACTTTATCTTCGCAATACAAGGCCGCCTCTTCGTACCTTTCACCTGCCAAAGTCCTTTCATGCCTCAGGGCCTTTGCACCTATTGTGCACCTATTGTGCCCCCATCACCACCACTTCCCTCAGAGCTCTCTCACTTTCTAAAACAACACTCCCACCTTTCTGCCCTTCCTCTACCAGGTTGTGATGTCTACATGACTCCTCCATTGCTGGAGCCCTAGTATCTGACACCTAATAATTGCTTGATAAGTGTAAGTGAATGGATAGTGTGCACTAGATCTTTAACAAAACCTATTTCTCAGCTTTCCTGTATTTTTCAGAGATCATCATTAAAGGGGAGGATACATTTGAGCTTTCTTTGTCATGTAGAATCCAGCAGACATTCACTCCTACAAAGAATGGTGGAAGAGTAAACTGATGATGGCTTTTAAAACAGGATAACTTGGTTAATACAGTCAGCCTTCCATATCCGTGGGTTCTGCATCCACAGATTCAATGAACAGTGGATAGAAAATATTTTTAAAAATTTGTCTATCCTAAGCAAATAGACTTTTCTTGTCATTATTCCCTTAACAATATAATATAGCAACTATTTACATAGCAGTTACATTGTAGGAAGTATTATAAATAGGACTTGAATCAATGCAAGAAAATGCTGGTCCTCGGGCTACCTTTTTTTTTTTTTTCCTTTTTCTTTTGGTACCAGGGATTGAGCTCAGGGGCACTTAACCATTGTTCCACATCCCCAGATTCCTTTTATGTTTTAGTTTTATATAGGGCCTCATTAAGTTGCCGAGATTAGTGTCAAACTTGCAGTCCTCCTGCCTCAACATCTGGAATCACTGGAATACTTTTATTGTCATAATAAACTGTCCTTTGTCTTTGACCCAGGAGTGTTGTATCTACCAGCATCCATGAAACTATTGCAGGCAAATTTGCAAAAAAAACACCTCTGATGATGATTTGTGTGTGTGGTACTAGGGATTGAACCCAGGACCTTGTGCATGCAAGGTAAGCACTCTACCACTTGAGCTTATCCCCAGCCCCTTTGATGATTCTTGACAGTATTGGCAACAAAGATGGGATACTGACTGAAACATGGCTTTGGGGGAGAACAGTGAGAGCCTTGCAGCCTGATGAAGAGGAAGTCCATGGGAATCAATTACAAACTTGTTGACCAACTTGTATGATACTTGGGCAATAAATGGTCCCTTATTTTATTGTCTGTTAATGAAAAAATTATGAGGTGGGGTTGTAGGCCCAGTCCCTGGAAGAGGGTTCAAAGACAGCTGCCTGGATGGTGCCCTGGTTGTCGCTAATTCTCTTTGGGCATGGTGTATCTGGCAGCAATCTGGTGGGCACCTTATGTCTTCATATTGTTAACAACCAGTACTAAAATTTGCCTTGGGTGCAGATATTTCCAACCCCTTTGAGACAACAGTTACTGAGATATACACTTACACTGAGCATGAATATGAGGAATTCATAACCACAATGGAAAGAAAGCAGGCAAATTGGAATGTTGGCTGATTTAATTTACTGATTTACCCAGGAGGTGAGGCATGTAATGCTTGTGAAGGAGGAATGTCTTAGCTGGGCTGTCTTTTGGCTTGGTCCTTCCTGCAATCTATTATGCCAACATTTTTTTTTAAGGGATTAAATCTAGGCCCTCGATCACACTAAATATATGCTCTACCACTAAGCTATACCTCAAGCCTCTTATGACAACCTTAAATCCATTAGGAGACAATGGTAAAAGATCCCAGAGTTTTTATTTTTACAGTGGGTCCTAAAAGCTAAAAATGATCTTGAGCCCTCTCAGGGAGATTCCCCTAAGAATAACTCCTATAAAAGACCACAGATGTAGCATTGACTGGTATTTGGGCTCTTACCACCTTGGATTGGGTTTGCAATGCTCATAAAGGCAGCTCATTAGAGAATGAGAAGTGAACCAAAATAATTCTAGATAGAATCTTGTAGTCAACTTCATCACCCAGGAAAGTTTCTAGTCCTCCTGTTAAAGCTAAGCTGGGCACAGTAGCATGCACCTGTAATCCCAGCTCCTCAGGAGACTGAGGCAGGAGAATCTCAAGTTTGGGCCAGCCTCCACAAGATCCTGTTTCAAAGAAAAATAAAACAAAAGGGCAGAAACAAGCGTTATTATGATAACTGGGCAACAAATGGCTTGGATTAAGTTGGATTTAAAAGAAGTATCATGGCTCATGTCTAGAGTAAGCCAAAGAAAAAATACACTGTGGCCCCAGACAGAAAGCAAGGAGCTGTGGAGTCAAGGCCGAAACAGTGTTGGTAGTGATGACCTTGCCACTTGATATAGGGCTGGGTAAGCAAAAAACTTCGGAGTTCATTCAGTTGAGGCATGAATTGCTGCTATACCCTTCAAAATGAAAGTAAGCATTCCCATCTTTAATGGCCCTTAGTTACTTTCTCCTTCCCTAATTCTGATCCTTTATTCCCTCTCTGTCCCAACCTCAGCTACTTTCAGGAGAAATATTAGTGACGGGGCTGACGTACTCCCGTCTTCAAGGTGGACCAAAGACCATATGTACCTGTCTGAAAATGTTGGGGAACTTTGGGGACAGGAGGGACTCAAACTTTTAACTGCTCTGTTGATTATGGGTGCCGAAGTCACCATCCTTACCTGGTGTTAAGGGATAAAAAGGTTTCCAAATGGAGGCTGGGCAAGTTCCATAGTAGGGTGGAGAAAGAAAAGACTAAGTACCTAGGCCCTCTGGTCCAATTCCATGTATTGGGTTGCATCTACTTTTGAAAGTATGGTAAGAATTGATGTTATTCTTTTGTCCCTTGAGTGGAGGAGTCTCCCAAATAGAAGATCTGTACACAAAGAAGTGTGAAATAAACTCCCCTGCAATTTGCCTGTAGTGGGCAAGTCAGGATTTAGGTGAGTCCCTTTACTTTCTTGATGTCCAAAACTTTCACAACCTAGAGGATGTCCGATTGAGTGGCAAGTCAAGGCTCAGTCTTAGTGGTCCTGACTATAGCATTGACACCTCTCCACAGAGATGGCTGATAATTCCTGACAAAATTCAATTTCTTGGGACTGGGTGGGCAGATTCACAATATCTAATCCTTCCAGCAGTCAAGGAAAAATCTTCTGTCTCTTCTATTCTACCACAGCCAAAAAAAGGAGGCCCAGCACCTTCTTGAATTCTTTGGGTATTTGGACTAGCACATACCTCAGATGGACATACTACTTGGTTCTTTATATCAGCTAATCTACAAATCAGCATCCTTTAAGCAGGCCCCAGACCAACAGGCTGCATTGGAAGTTGTCTGGTTAGCTGCAGCCCATTTGCTACTTTGGGGCCCCACAACTCTAATGACCCTTCTAAAAAAGCTATTAAGCCTCAGTGACTGATAATTTTGCTAAATGAAACCCCTGGCAGAGGGAAGCAGACTGCATCCATAAGAATCTCTGGGGATTTGGGGGTTAATGCATTACTGACAGTGACCAAGTACATCCCTTTTGAAAGCCTTACTATCTGGGCTCTTGTTAAAATGGGACAATTTGGGGCAAGGGATATGACTCAGTGGTAAATGCTTGTCTGGCATGTGTGAGGCCCAGTACCACATAAATAAATAGGACAACTGGGCTCTGAAAGCTTTGCTTATAAAATGGAAATGGGTCTATTCATGAACACAGCTAGCCTGGCCATGGTGTCATCTCAGACTTATATGAAAAAAACTGGCAGTAAACCCTTTGGGGGAAACATACCCACAATTAAGCAGAGCAAAGTCATTGGCCCAGGGGACCTTGTAAATTACAGAGGTTTCCCAAGTTCACAGATGGTTTAGCTAAGCTGAAGCCTGATGATGTCTTCTGGTTTTCTTTGGTTTTCCACTCTCAGATACAGCCCCAAAGTCTGGCTTACTTCATTCCTATGTTGGGTATGGACTGAAGGATAAAAAAAAACATGGATGTGTGTTACTCTGCTCAGTAAGTAGGAACCATTCTCATAGCCTCAGACCAGTACTCCAATTGATAGGCCATATTATATTTGTTCTGACTCTTGGGCTATTGTCAATAGCCTAGTTGTTTGATCTGTCACTTAGAAAATCTCAATGGGCAGATTAAAGACACTCCTCTTTGGGGCCATGAATGGTGGAAATAAATTCGGCTATGACAACCTGTCTGGGTCACATACATAGATGCCTACCAGAAGAGCCTGTTTTCTGATGAGATCAATGCCAAACCAGTAACGAAAACATGGTTTTGAGAAAAAGGAAAAAGCAGTTTTATTGCTTTGCTAGCAAAGGAGAAACACAGGGGACTCCTGTCTCACAGGGTGTGATTCTCCCCATTAGCAGGAACTGGGGGCTTTTAAAGAGATGATTCAAAAGCTACATTCCAGTGTTCTCTGTTGGAGTTTTAATTCACTTTTTAATTTTGGAGATAGTCATTTCTGAGATCTTCTGGTACCATCCCCAAAGTCTGGCTTATTTCATTCTTATGTTGGGTATGTACTCAAGGACAAGTAAATCTGCCTAAAATGGAGATGAAAGATAATCCTGTTTCCCTGAGATTAGGGAGGTAGAGAGATTAGGGAAGAGCAGGGAGAGAAAAAGAGAAAGAAACATGTCTATTTTAAAAATAACTTTCAGTGGCAGAGCAGTAAGAGCTATATTCAAAGCATAAAGTGAACCACTGTTACAGTTGTACTGTTACAATCCCACCAACAGTGTAAAAGTGTTCCTTTTTCTCCATATCCTCTCTAGCAATTATTATTATTATTATTATTATTTGGTATTGGGGATTGAACTCAGGGACACTTAACCACTGAGCCACATCCCCAGCCCTTTTTATTTTGAGACAGGGTTGCTTAAAGCCTAAGTTGCTGCTAGGGTTGTGGCTCAGTGGTAGAATGCTCGCCTCGCACGTGCGAGGCCCTTGGTTCGAACCTCAGCACCACATAAAAATAAATAAATAAAATGGAGGTAGTGTGTCCATCTACAACTTAAAAAATAAATAAATAAATATTTTTTTTAAAAAAAGCCTAAGTTGCTGAGGCTGTCCCAGAACTTGCAATCCTCCCACCTCAGCCTCCCAAATCATTGGAATTATAGGCCTGTGCCATCATGCCTGGTTTATTATTGTTCGTGTTCTTAATGACCGTCATTCTGACTGGTGCAACACATGAACTTTTGAAGACACATTCAAACCATAGCACAATGACTCTTTTGGGTATGTTGCTTGCTTGCTTTCCTAAACAGTAACTTTAGGCAAGCCTGGTTGGTACACACCTTCTAGAAGGCAGCCCTGCTTAAAGGGGGCTTCAGAGTTCAAATATGATTCTGATTCAGTCACTTGGATTCTCTTGTGGGACTTACATGATCTTAGATCATAAGGATAATGACCACTTGGGTAAGCACTATGCTTACTGAGACCCCTTACAGTGGCCCACATGAGAAAAACTGGGAAACATAATGGGTCTCTGTGCATTTTATAAAAAAAGTTCTTCCTCAAAAAAAAAAAAAAAAAAAAAAAAAGGTCTGGGTGCAAGAAAAGGATAATTGGGAAAAGATGACATTTTGAGGACTGGAGTGGAACACACCCATCTTGAAGGTAAAGCAGAAACTCTGGCATCTAGGTAGAAAATACCTTATAACCCAGTAGGTAAGAATGGAGGGACATTAATGATTTTATCTTTCACAATTGCTCTTGAAACATTCTTTATGAACAAAAATAACCTGGCTTACCTCCCAAACTTTTGTTAGTACTTTAAATTTAACTGACTCCAACTTCTGCCTTCACTCCTCAGATGACTTTGACTAGTTTAGTCACTATTCCTTATTACCTTTGCCAAACGTTTACTATAAACAGCAGGGGATATCCCTGGCTTCTGTACTTCCCACAAAAAATACCTACAATGTATCAATACCAATGTTTCAGATGTTTTTCTTGCTGTCATTCCCACAGACCCCTCAGCCAATCTGTGGAAAAGACTAATGCCACTCAACTGATGGCATGAACAACCAGGATAGACTGGACTAATTACCCTCAGGCAGTCCTTCCAAATATAAGGTGCTATAGTTTGTCCCTGAAATGTCCCTGAAAGGTCCATGTGTTAAAGGCTTGGTCCCCAACCTGTAGCATTATTGGGAAGTAGCAGAACCTTTAAAAGGTGATGCATAGGGACTGGGGATGTAGAGCTACAAGTGGTAGAGCACTTGCTTTGCCTAGTGTGCACAGGCCCTGGGTTCAATACCTAGCGCACACACACACACACAAATATCAAGCTTAGTGGTAGGAATTAGGTCACTGGAGATGTGCCCTTGAAGGGGATATTGGGAACCTACCTTTTCTCATCTTTGCTTCCTGGCTGTCACAGGCAAGAATTTCCTCTGCAGTGTGCTCCCCACCATGGTGTACTTGCCACAGGCCTAAAGGCAATGAGGCACAAGTAACCATGGACTTATGAGCCAAAATAAATAAAACTTTCCTCTTTATAAATCGATTATATCAGGTATTTTTTTCATTGAAAGAAAATAACACATGAGGATTAGACTTAATTATTCAAAGTAAACTGGAAACCCAAAGGTCTACCAACTGGCCAGGACCTTGGGGGACACTGACCCTTGTAAACAACACTTTCTCAGAGTGCCATATGTGCCCTTATGACTATATTTCTTATGTGAAAACTAGTTGGATCAACCTCTCCAAAAGGGTGTACTGTATTTTCATGATGATCATAAGAGAATTTTGTGTTTTAGTAAACATCATGGAGCACAGATCGTGCAACCCACAGATAATAATGGAGATATTTCTAAAATGAGGCTATCCCTGGTTACTCACAGAACCTTTTTGAACTGATAACTGACTTGCTGTTAATATACACAATGGGAACAATTATTCCTATTATGTAACTCATCTGATTAAAAAGGCAATGCAACTTTTGTCCCTGACTTTAGTTGATCTGATCAATGGTACCACCATGGCCCTGGAAGATATTCAGATCAGCATCAAATGACTGGCCAGAATTTATTTATAAAAAATAGACTTTCTTATAAGGCCAGGCCACAATGGAGACTATGCAATATCTAATATGGTTTCATGACTTGGGCCAGAGTGGAAAGGTCAGTATTTGAGAAAAACACCTAACTTTCTAGGGTAGACTTTAATAATTTATGGATTTGCTCAGCCTGTTGGAGGAGAGCTCTGGGGTCAGGAATGAGGTTAATATAAGTTGGGCTCATTCAGCTGCAAATGCCTCACCACACCACTGACTATAGCTAGTAAATGCTGATTGCAGCCAATCAGGTTGTTTCTTAGGAAAGTATGTGATTTCCTTTTCTCTGAATATAAAAATGATCTGGATATATTGTAGGGTGGGGAATTCTGAACCAATTTCAGTCAGAAGTGGTGACTGGTTCTAGAACTCTTTTTCTTGCTTAAGTAAATTCTGTTAAACTTATTGGTAACAATTTTTTCTTTTAACAATATAAAACATATAATTTACCATTATAAGTCTTTTTTTTTTTTTTTTTTTTTTTTTGGTGCGGTACTAGGGATTGAACCCAGGGATGCTTAACACTGAGCCACATCCCCAACTCTTTTAATGTTTTTTTTTTTAATATATGTTTTTAGTTGTAGATAGACACAATATATTTATTTTTTTATTTTTATGTGGTGCTGAGGATCGAACCCAATGCCTCATGCATGCAAGGCAAGTGCTCTACCACTGAGCCACAACCTCAGCTCATTTTATTTTGGGACACTACGTTACTTACAGCCTTGCTAAACTGCTGAGCATGGCTTTTAACTTATGATTCTCCTGCCTGAGCCTCCCGAACCACTGGGATTACAGGTATGTGTGTGCCACCATGCCCAGCCATTTTACCATTCTTCTTCTTCTTCTTCTTTTAATATTTTTTTTAGTTGTAGATGGACACAATACCTTTATTTTATTTATTTATTTATTTTATGTGGTGCCCGGGATCGAACCCAGTGCCTCATGCATACTAGGCAAGCGCTCTACCACTGAGCCACAACCCACCCCCAACATTGTACCATTCTTAAGTGAACAATTTAGTGATATTAAAGACATTCACAGGCTGGGGTTATGGCTCAGTGGCAGAGCACTTGCTTAGTACATATAAGGCACTGGGTTTGATCTTCAGCACCACATTAAAAAAAAGAAACAAAGTTACCAGGTCTATCTATCATTAAAAAAAAAAAGACATTCACATTGTTATGCAGCCATCACCACTATCATTTTAGAACTTTTTCCATTCTAAATTGAAACTCTGGAGCCATCAAAAAATTGTCCCCCTTTCTCCTCTCCCCCCAGCTCCTGGCAACTAACACTCTATTTTCTGTGTTTATAAATTCAACTATTCTAAATACCTCATGTAATTGGAATCATACAGTATTTGTCCTTTTTTATTAATTACTTTAATTGTACAAACTTATGGGGTATAGGGTGATAATTTTATATATATATATATATATATACCATGTGTAATGATCAAATCATGACAGTTAACATTTCCATCTCCTTAAACTCTTTTTATGTGTATGGGGTGCTGGTAATCTGGGGATTAAACCCAGGGCCTTGCATAGGTTAAGTACATACTCTATTACCAAGTTAAAACCCTAGCCTTGACTCTTAATAATATTTTTGGTCATGCATAATAATTGTATACATGTATTGAAATAACAATTGTTACTGAAATAACAATATGTGTATACAATATTTACTAATCACATCAGGGTAATTAATGTTCCCATCTCATTATTATTACTTCACGTCTGGAACTTTAGAATTCCTCTCTTCTAGTTTTTCATAACATTTATATAGGTTATTATGAACTACGGTCACCCTTCTGTGCTGTAGAACATTAGAAGTTATTACTTCCATGTTTTGGTACTCATTATCTATCCTCCATTTCCCCAACCTCCTATTCTTCTGAGCCACTACTAATGACTATTATTCATTTAGATCAACTATTAAAAAGGCATTTGTCTGTGTTAATCTAAATGTCTTTCTATGATTGTATATTTTTCAAGTTAAAATGAAGGCATGCTTGTATATAAGGATGAAAACTATTACATTAACTCTCTCTTAAAATATTTTTCCCAAGATTTTGGACTCATTTAAAAAAAAGGCATTTGTCCTTTTGTCATTGGCTTATTTCACTGAGTATAATGTCTTAAAGTTTCATTCTTATTGGAGCATGTGTCATGGTTTCCTTTTTTTAAAGGCTGAATAATATCCTTTGAATGGCATATATGTATGCTTATCCACTTAGGTTCCATCTTTTGGCTGTTGTGAATAACAATGCTATGGACATGGGTATACAGCTAACACTATTAGATCCTATTTTGATTTTGTGGAGTATATACTTATCAGTGGAATTGCTGGGTCATATTATAATTCTGTGTTTAATTATTTTTGAGGAATTACCATACTGTTTTCCATAGCATGTACACCATTTTACATTCTTACTAGCAATACCTGAGGGTTCTACTTTCCTCACATTCTTGCCAACACTTGTTATTTTCTGGTTTTATTTTGTTTATAATAGCTATCCTAATGCATATAAGGTCTTATCTCATTGTGGGTTTTTGTTTGTTTGTTTTATTTTAGTACCAGGGATTGAACTCAGGGGCACTCAACCACTGAGCCACATCCCCAGCCCAGCCTATTTTGTATTTTATTTAGAGACAGGGTCTCACTGAGTTGCTTAGTGCCTCACCTTTGCTGAGGCTGGTTTTGATCTTGTGATCCTCCTGCCTGGTGCTGGGATTCCAGGCGTGCACCACTGTACTGGGCTCTCATTGTGGTTTTGATTTGCATTTTCCTAATGGTAATGATGGTGAGCATCTTTTCATATGCTTTCATACCATCTATTTTCTTTACAGAAATGTGTATTTCAGTTGCTGTCCATTTTGTTCTGTTTTTGTTGGTTGGTTGGTTGATTTTGTTTCTTTTTTTTTTTTTTTTTCTGGAGGTACTAGGGATTGAACCGAGGTCCTAATGCCTCCTAGGTAAGTGCTCGACCTCAGAGTTTCATCCCCAGCCCTTTGGCTCATTTTTGATTGTTGAGTTTAAGAAGTTTTTTTATATATTCTACATACTAAAATATATACGACTTGAAAATATTTTCTCCCATTCTACAGATTGCCCTTTTACTGTGATAGCGCCCTTTGATGCACACAAGTTTTTAATTTTGATGAAGTTCAACTTATCTAGTTTTTCTTTTGTTGCCTTGTGGTTTTGGTGTTACATTCAAGAAATTATTGCCAAATCCAATATCACAACACTTTCACCATTTTAAAAAGTTTTATAGTTTACGTTCTTACATTTAGATCTTTGTCTTCCCTTCCTTCCTTCTTTCCTTCCTTCTTTCCCTCCTTCTTTCCCTCCTTCTTTCTTTCTTTCCCTCCCTCCCTCCCTCCTTCCTTCCTTCCTTCCTTCCTTCCTTCCTTCCTTCCTTCCTTCCTTCCTTCCTTCGTCTTTCTTTCTTTCACTGAGGATTGAACCCAGAGACCAGAGACTCTTTATCACTGAGCTATATCCCCAGCCCTTTTTATTTTATTTTATTTTTGAGACAGGGTCTCACGAAGTTACTTAGGGTCCAGCTAAGTTGCTGAGGCCATCTGCTGCCTTGCAAACCTCCTGCCTCATCCTCCCAAGTCACTGGCATTACAGGTGTGCATCACTGTGCCTGGCTTACATTTAGATCTTTGATACATTTTGAGTTAACTTTTGTATATGGATATAGTAAGGGACCAATTTCATTATTTTGCATGTGATTATCTATTTTCCCAGCACCATTAATGGAAAGAAACTGCCTTTCCTCATTGAATGATTTTTGGCACCTTGTCAAAAATAATTGACTATATATGTCAGGGTTTATTTCTAGGATCTCTATTCTATTCCATATATGTCTGAATATATATGCCTTGTTTTTATGTCATTACCACACTGTTTTTTAAGCATTTTTTAGTTGTAGGTGCACACAATACCTTTATTTCATTTTAATGTGGTGCTGAGGATCAAACCCAGTGCCTCACACATGCTAGGTAAGCCCTCTTCCTCTGAGCCACAACCCAAGCCCACCATACTACTGCAGCTTTGTAGGAAGTTTTAAAATCAGGAAGCCTGAGTTCATCAGCTTTGTTCTTTTTCAAGATGTTTTGGCTACTTGGAGTCCTTTGAGATTCCATATAAATTCTGAGATAGATTTTTTTATTTCTGAAAAAATTGTTGACATTTTTAATAGAGATTGCATTGAATCCATAGATTGCTTTTTGTAGTGCTGACATTCATAAATATTTAGTTTGGCCGGGCACGGTACGCATGCCTGTAATCCCAGCGGCTCAGGAGGAGGAGGCAGGAGGACGGCAAGTTCAAAGCCAGCCTCAACAATTTAGCAAGGTGCTAAGCAACTCAGTGAGACCCTGTCTCTAACAAAATATAAAATAGGGCTAGGGATATGGCCCAGTGGTCAAGTCTGAGTTCAATCCCTGGTACCCCGACTCTCCAAATTAAGTTTTCCAGTCCATGATAATGGACTCTATTTAGTTTGGCCTTCTTTAATTTTCATCAGCAATGTTCAGTAACTTTCAGGGCTAATTCCTAAATATTTTATTCTTTGTGATGCTATTGTCATGGAATTGTTTTCTTAATTTCCTTTTCAGATTTTTTATTGTTAATGTATAGAAACCCATTTGTGTGTGTGTGTGTGTGTGTGTTTCTGTGTATGAATTTTGTGTCTTGTAACTTCACAGAATTAATTCATTAGTTCTAATAGCTTTTTGTGGGTTTTATATAAATAAGATTATATAAGATTATGTACCTGCAAAAAGACATCAATTTACTTCTTCCTTATGTTCCTTTTTATTTCTTTTTCTTGCTTAATTGCTCTAGCTAGAACTTGAAAAACTATTTTGAATAGAAGTGGTGAAAGTTGATTCTTTTTCATCACAAAGTATTAGCAGTGGGTTTTTATTTGTGACCTTTATTATATTGAGATAGCTGTTTTATTCTAATCCTAATCCTAGTTTTTTGAACTTTTTTAAAATCACAAATGGGTTTTGAATTTTTCCAAATGCCTTTTCTGCCTCATTTGTGATGATCAGATGGGATTTTTCCCCTTCATTTTATTAATGAGATATATTATACTGATTGATTTTCTTATCAAGGATGTTGAGCCATTCAAGGGAGAATGTGAGCTATCTCCAGAGGGACACACAGTTTGCATCAATATGTATAAGGGAGCCAGGTGTGGCGATGTAATGCCTGCAGTACCAGCTAAGCGCTTCCCTCAGGATGCTGACGGGGAGGAGCATTGGAACCCAGAAATTGGAGACCAGGCCGTGCCACATAGCAAAACCCTGTCCCTCCCCAAAAAAAACCAAATAATATTTATAAGGGATATTTGTCTATAGTTTTCTAGTAGTGTCTCTGACTTTGGTATCAGGGTAATGCTTACTCCATGGAGTGAGTTAGAAAGTGTTCCCTACCCTTCGATTTTTGGGAAGAGTTTGAGAAGGACTGGTACACTTTGAATGTTTGGTAGAATTCAACCAATTCAACATCCTTACTAGTTATAAGTCTATTCAGATTTTCTGTTGCTTAATGATTTAATCTTGATAGACTTTGTGTTTCCAGGAATTTGTCCATTTCATTTGGGTTGTCTAGGCTCTCCAGTTTGTGGGCATACAATTTATCCATAGTATTCTCTCATGATTCTTTTTATTTTTAAAGAATCAGTAGTAATGTTCCCACTTTCTTCTCTGATTTTTAGTAGTTTGAGTCTTTCTTAGTCAATCTAGCTAACCGTTGGCAATTTTATTAAAAAATGCAAACTTTTGCTGGGTACAGTGGTGCATACCTATAATCCCAGTGGCTTGGGAGGCTGAGGCAGGAGGAATGCAAGGTTTTGTTTTGTTTTGTTTGGGCACCAGGGATTGAACCCAGGGATGCTTAACCTCAAGCCACATCCCCAACCTTTTTATATTTTATTTAGAGACAGGGTCTCACTGAGTTGCTTAGGGCCTCTATAAGTTGCTGAGGTTGGCTTTGAACTCACGATCCTCCAGGAATGCAAGTTTGAACCCAACTTCAGCAATTTAAAGACCCTAAGCAATTTAGTGAGACCCTGTCTTAAAACATAAAAAGGGCTGGAGATATGGCTCAGTGGTAAAGCACCCTCTGGGTTCAATCCAAGTATCAAAAGGAAAGAAAGAAAAGAAAGAAAGAAATGCAAACTTTTGGTTTCATTGATTTCCTCTATCATTTTCTGTTCTCTTATCTCTGCTCTAATCATTTTCTTTTTTCTGCTGGCATTTGGTTTCATTTAGTCTTTTTTCTTTTCTTTTCTTTTTTTTTTTTTTTTAGTTTTTCAGTGTATAAATTTTTGTTGTTGGTTTGAAAACTTTTTTAATTGTAAGCATTTACAGCTATAAATTTCTTTCTTAGCACTGTTTTTATTGCATTCCTTAAGTTTTGGTATGCTTTCTTTTTGTTTTCATGTCTTAAGATTATTTTCTAACTTCCCTTGATTTCGTTTCTCATTCATTGGTTGTTTAATGAAAATGTTGGGTTATGGGTATACTCAGTGGTAGAGCACTTGCCTAGCATATGAGAAGCCATGGATTCAATCTTCAGTATGGCTAAATAAATATATAAAATAAAAAATTTAAAAATGTTGTTTAATTCTCACCTATTTTTCAATTTTCCCTTTGCTACTAATTCATTCCATTACAATTGGAAAATATGACTTACATAATTTCATTTTTTAAAAATTCATTGACTTCTTTTATGGTTTAACATATGGTCTATCCTTAAGAATGCATAAGTTCTTTTTTTATTTTGCGCACACTATGGTTTATATGCCCAAACCTCATCCCAGATGCCAGCAATAAAGCTATTGGGCAGGAGATGTAGCTCAGTGGTAGTTTGTGTTTAGCATGTGTGAGCATGGGCTTAATCCCCAGCACCACTAAAATAAAATAAATCTGTGGCCTGACAGAAAGGCTACCTGCTAGAGCTGCAGGGTTCTTCAGAACTTTGAGTCCAGCCACCTGCCATCTTACAGGTGAGAAAATCATTTTCTTTTTTCTGCTGGCATTCGGTTTCATTTGGTCAGAAGGTTTCATCTAAGATTGTACTAGGGCCTGGTGGCTTGCAGGTCATGGACATTGAACCAATTCAAGTTCTTGCCTGAGAGCCTGCCATGTCATCAGCAATAACCATATAAAATCTCCACCCAAAGTCCATTCAACAAATGTTTACTGAACATCTAAAACATTCCAGGCATAAGGCAAACCCCAAAGTGACTCTATCTGTGTAGGGCCTTCCTGCTCTCAGATGGGCCTGACGATTCTGCTTCCCGGCAATGAGTGGTGTAGATAATCAAATAGTGTCTGGTACATTAATGTCTATTTCATAAATGTACCAACTTGTCACCTAAACCTCTATGTTAGGCTGACTACATGCTTCTTCTAGAAACCATAGGCACAAAGGCTTTGGATATGGCAGGGCCAGACAGAAAAAGCTCATCATGTCTCTAGGGCTGGATTCAATGAAACAGCAAGGCACAAGGAGGGGGACTATACCTGAAGCAGGCAGAGGCTGAGGAGATTAGCATAGTTGTGGCCGGACAGCTCTATCTGGCTTTTTCACCCAAAGGGGCTATCTAGGAGCACCCCAGCCCTGACATGGGGTTATTCATGCAAAATTCAGCTGCTGGGCCAGTGAAAGCATGAGGTTGCTTTCTGTGACTGGGAAGAGTAAGATATCACCTCCACCCTGGACACTCTGGTCAACTTCTATTTGAGGTTCAGCAGGTTGGATTCTTGCCATGTGGTTGGTGCAAGGGACAGTGCCTACAGAAGTATTGTTCTGACAGCTGCCAAGGAGCTCCCTGACCCATCAAGTTTGTCACCCATCATCATTCTGTGACATAAAGCAGGACAGGGCATATGGCCCTATTTTACAAATGCTGAAACCCAGGTGCAGAGAAATGAGTAATCTGATGTGCAAGTCAGGGGTCAGTGGTCAACCACAGAAGCAGAACCACAAGGGGACAGATCTAGGTAAAAGATATCAAGAGATTTAGTGTAAGGGATTACCTTACATGACGATGGGGGCTGGTTAGGCAAGCCTGAAATCCACAGTGCAGGCAGGCTATCAGGTTGGAACTCCTGAACACAGGTTGCAAAATTCAAATATAGATCTACCCTACAGATGAGTTTCTACGGTCACATCATACCACCAATTACCACTTTCTTCTTTGCCATTGAAAATAGAGTCACTGGCAGGGTATGCTAGCAGATGCCCATAAACCCAGTAACTTGGGAGGCTGAGGCAGGAATACTGTAAGTTTGGGGCCAGCCTCAGCAACTTAGCAAGACCCTGTCTCAAAATAAAAAAGGGTGGAGGGCTGGGGATGTAGCTCAGGGGTAAGGTTACTCTGGGTTCTTGCCTAAGAGCCTGCCATGTCATCAGCAATAACCATATAAAATCTCCACCCAAAGTCCATTCAACAAATGTTTACTGAACATCTAAAACATTCCAGGCATAAGGCAAACCCCAAAGTGACTCTATCTGTGTAGGGCCTTCCTGCTCTCAGATGGGCCTGACGATTCTGCTTCCCGGCAATGAGTGGTGTAGATAATCAAATAGTGTCTGGTACATTAATGTCTATTTCATAAATGTACCAACTTGTCACCTAAACCTCTATGTTAGGCTGACTACATGCTTCTTCTAGAAACCATAGGCACAAAGGCTTTGGATATGGCAGGGCCAGACAGAAAAAGCTCATCATGTCTCTAGGGCTGGATTTAATGAAACAGCAAGGCACAAGGAGGGGGACTATACCTGAAGCACTAATGCCTTTAAATATAATCAAATGAGAGAATAATTCCAGATAACCCAGAATCAATTGCAGAAATTAATCTTAATCATCCTTTAGATTGTATTTCTTAGGAACCACTTCTGGTACCAAAATCTGTATTAGTCAGACCCAGAGAGGCAGAACCAGTAGGATATGCATTAAGAGATTCATTGCAAGGACTTGACTTCATGATTGTAGGGCCTGGCTAGGCAAGTCCAATAGCTACAGGGCAGGCTGTCAGGGAAGCAGGTTGGAATTCCTGCCAAGGCCCAGAGCTGTGGTTGGCATACAGAATTCCTCTTCCTTAGAGAAGCCTGAGCCATGTTCTTTAGACCTTTTAATGGGTTGATTCAGGCCCACCTAAGTGATGTGGAATAATCTCACTTACTTAGTCAATTGGTTATGGTCTCTAATTGAATCTACAAAATACTTCACAGAAAGTTTGGCTTGGTAGTGCATCCCTGTAGCAGCTCGAGAGACTGAGTCAAAAGGTTTGCCTGAGTCCAGGACCTGGAGGCCAGCTGGGGAAATACAGTGAGATGCTTTCTCAAAAAACAATCCTTTACACATACCTAGGCTAGTGTATGACTGGGGAATAACCTGGAATGCCCAAAGACCACCTGCCCACATCCACACTGTAGGCTCCACAACTCTGTATCTGCTCTCAACTTCTTTCCACCAGCACACAGATTCTTATGCTGACCCTTAAGAAGCTGATAGTGCCAGGCATGGTGACACATGTTTATAATCCCAGGGACTCAGAAAGCTCAGGCAGGAGGATTGCAGGTTCAAAGCCAGTCTCAGCAATTTAATGAGGCCCTAAGCAATTTAGTGAGGCCCTGTCTCAAAAATACAAAATAAAACAAAAATTTTTTTAAAAGCTAGGGATGTATCTCAGTGGTTAAGCACCCTTGGGTTCAATCCCTAATACCAAAAGGAAAAAAAAAGCATTTAAAAAAATTTAGGTAGAATTAATATAACATAAAATGAAACATTTAAAGTATGCAATCCAGTTGTATTTAATATATTCACAATCATAACCTTTATCTAGTCCCCAAACATTTCCATCACCCCAGAAGGAAACCTTGTTCCCATTTAGCAGTCATTCCAATTCCACCTTACTCCTGCTGTGGCATTTAAAAATCCATTTGGACAGTAACATAATTAGGGAGAACTTGGATGTGTGAAGCCTGCCCCACTTGCTCATCTAATGGGGACAGAAGACATCTACTCCTTCACGATGGTGGGGACATAGTCGGGTTTGACAGCTTCCGCAAGCTCTCGCGCGTACATCTCATATCTGCCTGTCATCTGAAAACAAAACACAGACATACTTTCTCGAGGTTCCTGTTTATAAACACTTATCACTTACTCACCACCATTTCTTGCCACTGGGGGGCAGCCGTGAGATAGAAATACTGGTTGACAGGACAATTTCATACCAACGTACAGAAGCAACCCCACTGTGACCTCTTAGCACTGATTCCGGTGATTCATACAGCCTATTCCAGCCTGTGGTGACTTCTGTGACCTGCCTGTTCAGGAGATGTGGTCTGCCCCCAGGGAGGAGGGAGGAGGGGTGTCCTGTGGTCCTGCAGCAACTCAGAAGAGCAGCCTACAGTCCAGAGAGGGGAGTGATCTACTCCTGGTCACTAGCCAGGAGTGGAAAAGGCTGAGGATTTGAACCCAGATATCTTGGCTGAGTTTTTGGTCTGTTTGTTCCATGTGGCATCTCATTATGGACACAGAGACTAGTCTCTGGCATGCCTTCCATTCTTCCATCTCAAGTCAGCTCCTTCAAAAAGCCTCAGCACAGCTGGGAATGTTTCTGCTTCAAGAAAGTAGCTCATGAGAAAACATTCTGTTTACTGCTCCTGGTGATACTTGTTAAAGAGCTGGCTGGCATGCCTATAATCCCAGAAGTTTGGGAGGCTGGGACAGGAGGATTGTAAATTTGAGGCCAGCCCTAGCAACTTAGTGAGACCTTATCTCAAGATAAAAAATTAAAAGGGCTGGGATGGGGCTGGGGCTGCCTAGTATGCATGAGGCCCTGGGTTCTATTCCCAACCCCATAAAACAACATAACAAAAAATAAAAAAGGATGTGGATGTAGCTCAGTGGTAGAACATTCCTGGATTCAATCCCTAGTACAGGAGGGAGGGAAGGAGGGAAAAAGAAAGGACAGAAGGGAGGGAGGGAGGGATGGAATTCTCAGCTCTGACTTCTGATTTAGGTAGAATTCTGCATTAATCTGAGCTATCCAAGAGGAGTGGCATGTCAAGAGATGGTCATGGGTAACACCTTGTTTGTCTGGCAAAGATCTGAGACTGGGGATTGTGTTCAAGGACCAATATTTAAGAAAGCAGGGGAGTAAGGCCTAGAGCCCATAACTGTCTGGACAAGAACCCTTGGGCTCCTCCCAGTCACATAGGTAATGCCATTCAGTCATAACAATGTGACGTTCATTTGCTGGGTGGTTTGCTCATCAATGGGGACTGAGTTGGTGGAAATACTACTGGACATGAGTACAATAAACCCTGCCTTGGTCCTGTCCTTGTCTACCACTGTTCCATCCTGGGATGACAGGTACCTACATTCCTCTCAAACCCTTGATGACACAGAGTATCAGTCTCAAAGGCAGCAGGCAGCCTTTGAGTTAAGCCTCTCATTTTACATCTGGGAGTCCTAAGGCCTGGGAGCAGAAGGTGCTTGCTTAGGGTGACTGACAGAAGGCAGAGCCAGGCCCAGATCCCATTTCTCTGTGTGACCCATTTCCCACTATTGTCAAGGCCAGACTGTGGAGCCTGGCTGCAGGCAGAACCAGACATGCACACTTATCTTGTGATAAGTGCAAATGCCTGGAAAGGAAAAAGGATTAGACAAGCCAATCCACTCTATTCTCTGGACAAATTAAATTGAGATTAATTTGTTTGAAGGCACCTAAAATCTAAATCAGATGAGAGAATTTATGGAGGCCTGCTGCTTGTGCACTGTTTGATCCAATAGTTCCTCCCCACAGCCCGCAGGCAGGCAGAGACCAGGCCCAACACGGAGCTCCTGGTCTAAAGGAGGCACCTTCTGTAAGCTGTCTCTGAGGGAAAACACCATTAACTGCGGTTCACAGCTCTGTGAGCAGGATGAGGGCCAAAAAAGAGGAGCAGGGTAACAGGAAGGAACTTGAGGACCCACCTTGAAGTTCCAGACATCACTCATCTGCTGGCAGAGATTGAGGTTGAGCTCAGCCACCAGCAGCCCGTCCTGGCTACGGGAGAGCCCAGGAGTCCGGCTGCCATCAGGGGCTGCCACATAGCTTGAGCCATAAAAGTAGCCAAAGTCATGGTGAGCTTTAAGAAGCAAATGGAAGAGGCCATGAGTTTGTACAGACACAATGTAAGGTCTGTAGAGAGGCAGGTGCATTAAGGGACGCTCAAGACAAGATGTTCATACGTCTTTCCCCAGCATCTTCCAAATGCAGAAATTCAAAGGGCCTGTCTCCCTTCTCAGACCTGAAGGCCCAGTAGGTGGCTGTAAAGGTCACTCCTGTGTCACTTCCCACAGTCACTGAGAAAACTTCTAAAGGTCACCCTTTAGACGTATTGACTCCCATCAGCTACCCACAATACAAGCCTCGGGGGCTCTAGGGGCTTCCTGTGAGGCCTGTTTCCTGTGGTGGCCCACTCAGTAAACTGGAGACTCTAGCCCTACTTGTCATGACAGCTAGGTCACTTCATCCCCACTTCACATCTTGGTCCCCTCATGAGTCACGGGGGGGGGCTAAGAGCCACTGAAGAGTAGTGGGCTGCAGGGCAGGGCCTACCTAGCATGGCCCCAACTCTTATTTCCCTGCCTCTTTTGCTCTTTTGTCAGCAGGAAGCTGAGACTGGAGTGTGGATCTGGGTTACAGTCCAAGACCTCATGTGGAAGGCTTTAAGACCCCTCCAGTATGTGTTTTCTTGGGAAACATATCTGCTCAGGCCCCTCCAGACACCTCCTTGCTGAGGGGACAGCTTTTCCCTCACATCAGTGCCTAGAAAGTGGGACTTAAGGGTGTAGTAGTCCTAGCAGAGGTGAGGTGTTACCTTCCCTTAGATCAAAACAAGCCGTAGATCCTAGAAACGCAGGCAATCCATGCTGACTTGAGGGGCATTTGTACAGCTGAGGGGTGGACAAAGGAATGGAGAGAGGGAGGTCTGAAAGCTGCAAGAGAGCCCTTCAGCTTTTTCAGGAGCTCACAAAGAGCTCCCCTACATCTCCTCAGTCCATCTTTACACCAATCCCAGTGAAGGAATGGAGTCTAATATAATTCCCATTTGCTCCTTATCTGGGGAACAAAGTGGTCACATGTCCAGGACCTGGCCACAGTCATCCTGGCCACAGTCAGATTCCCCCACAGAGGGCAACAAAACAGAGAAGTCAGCACCTCCTCCTAGTCGCCAGGCATGCAGATACAGGCTATGGGACAGACCTTGCCCAGAGGAAGCAAACAGAGAAGTGGGGGATGAGACCCATCACCATGAAAGTACACGGAACATACCTTTCTTCCCATCTCCAGAGGTAAACTCATTGGGGAAGTGCTCCTGTGAAGTAAGATTAGAGTATAAGAGAAACCTATAGGTGGCACCACCACAATGTTCATTCCAGAACACTTAGCCAGACCATGAATAGCAAGCTGGGCCACAGGGAGTTAGCTTGGAAATAGTGAAAGTAAGATGCAGGGTCTGTTCTCTCTGGGCAATCAACAGATACTTGTTAAATGTCCTTCTGAGCACCCAGGATTAGGCAGCCAGTGGAGAATTTGACAAGCATGGTAAAGACCTGGATTTTGCCTTTGGGGAGTTTATAGTTTGGGAGAAAAGAAACACATTGGGCACTGATCAATTCTCAGGGCTGTGGAAAGTATGTGAAGTTGGCCTTCCTGAAGCAGTAAGACCTCAGCCTGGGGTCTGTGAAGACATGAAAGGTGGAGGAGAGGGCCCTCATATACTGTTTTAATATTTTCTCTAAAGCTTAATGAAATTTATACATCAAGTTGTGATGGAATCACACAGGCTAACCAAAACATCAGCATTTGGGGCTGGGGTTGTAACCCAGTGGTAGAGAGCTTACCTAGTATGTGTGAGACACTGGGTTCGATCCTTAGCACCACATAAAAATAAATAAAAAAAATGTATTGTGTCCATCTACAGTTTTAAAACATTTTTTAAAAATCAGGGTTTTTCCCTCCCTCCATTCCTTCCTTCCTTTCTTTTTTTAGCAGTACTGGGCCTAACTCGTGCCAGGCAAGCATTTTACCACTGAGCTACCCCCAGCCCCATCAGGTTTATGTTGACAATTCATAGAGACTTAGTGTGGAAAAATTCGTTATCTCAGACTGATCAGATGTTCTGAGCAGAGTTTGACCTGTGAAGTTGGGTATTTAGCTCAGTGGCCGAGTGCTTGCCATGCGCAAAGCCCTGACTGAGTTTGGTCCTTGGCCCTGGGGGGAAAAAGTGAGGAGGGGGGAACAAAAAAAAATTCAAGGTATCAGAGTTTGACATGTGATTAATAAGAATGAGGAAAAGGATTATTAGGTGATAAATGCATTATGTTTGGTAGTCAAGACTGTTCAGTGGGTGGGGTCCACTGATGTGGGGAAAATAACAAACTGGATACTTAGAAGTGAGAGAATGAGGTCAGATCAAAGATTCTTTCAGAATTGTTTCAGCTAAATGCAACAACAGAAATCACAAACCAAGTTGCTTTGTCCCTTTCCAGATTTATGACATGTATGCAAAATAAACATGTGATATGTCTCCACTACAACCACCAACAGTGGCTCCTTTAATCATCTATACCTCAGAGACTTACCTGGCCCACTCGGTTAATGGCACAAGTGAAGCAGTGATTGGCAATGGCAGCATTTCTGGCCTCAATTGGCCATAGGGACTCACTGTAAGAGAGGAAAAGGAGGAACAAGTTTGCCAACTCTCTAGCCAGACTCAGTGGATGCTCAGCCTGGAGCTACACCTGATACTGGCCTTCCAAGGCCTAGAGTGGGGATAGCCAGGGAGACTTACTATGCCCAAGGGTCACCTCAAACCTGAAAGCAAACCAAACTTGTCCTCAGCAACTTGTTTAAGCCCACAAAGTGTTTTGGGGAGGGCCAGCTATAGGCAGAAGCCACAAGGCTGTGGTTGACTATCAGAAGGATCAAATCCTTATCCTGAGCTTCAGTTTCCCTCTCCAAAACTTCCTCAAAAGGAGATTGTGAAGACTAAATGATCATGCAGATGAAGCTCCACATGGTGGTTCTTCCATAGCCTTCATTTCCTATATTCTTCCTTCCTTCTGGGAATCTGTTTTCTATGCTGGGCTAAGAAGAACTTCTCCTGATAAATGTCAGAAGGGAGTTGGAACCTTGGGATCTTGGGTGTTTGGCTTGTGAGGGCGGAGCATGGGCTTTCTCTGCCCCACCCTAACTCTCCTACCATGCTGTTACCTTGCAAATCAGTCTCCAAGGGGGGAGATTTCAGACAGAGTAACCAGAAAGGAATTTAGGATATGTCTTGTTATGTGGAGTCATATTTTGTAGCAGAGTTATAACCTCTGAGTTTGGTCCTTGTTTCCCAGTGCCTTCCTATTTTCCTACTCTGAACCATGCACCTCTAAGCAGAAACTTCCTGGTTCCCTAACTGGATACCCTACAGGCACAGCTGAGCTGTGAGCCTTCCTCAGTCCAGCACCCACCAAAGGGAGAGTGCAGTGAGAGACCTCTTCCCATCCACAGACCCCATCCTTCTCCAGCCCTCCAACCAAGATGTGCCATGGAATTCAGTGGGCCTTCTGCTCACTGGTGATCTCCTGTCTGAGAAAGAGCATCATTTAAATTCTAGATGGGCAGAAGCGATGCCCACTTACAAACACTGAGGGCCTGGGAGCAAAATGCCCCAGAATCTTCCTTCCTGTCAGTGTGCACCTGGTTTAAACCAAGGAGTAGGTGGAGGGGGTGGGTGCTTGTCATATGCCTAATGCTCAGGAGGATTCATGAATCTGGAAAAGGGCGAAAAAAATCACTGGCTTGATTGAGGGAACTCATTTTGCTTTTTCCCCCCCACCTGCTAAGCCAAGCTGACAAAACTTTTAAGAAAAGATTTTTACAGAAACACACCCATAGATGACATTTTCAGGAATTAAATAAGACACTTGTGGGGTGATTGCCATAAAGTATCTTTCTTATAATTCTCCAGGGAGGTGTTCTGTGTAGGACTCAAACCCACAGCTGGCAATGAAATGTATGCTCTCAAAACCACCAAAGAAAGGAAGCTGGAGGGTCACAAGAGTCGACTGTGTGCAGGAATCTTGAAGAGTCTGGTGTAGGGACAAGGACATTTGATATATTCCCAATGTATCATACACAAACCCCTAAAAATAATACCAGGGGGGAAGGCCAAATGCAGCAAGGGGATGAGAAACAGACTTTCTGATGCATGAACATACAGAGCAGAAATGTTTGGTCACATGGGCTCTGCCGGATACCCCTAACCCTAACACTAACCCTACATCCTGGGATTGCCAGCATGACTCAGTGAATTAAAAAGCACTTCCAGGCTATCGTGGGACACAAAAACGAGCAAGGACACCTTGCTGACCCACAGTTCAGGCACTCATGTGTATCTGTCTGTTTCTGATAGAGCAAACAGGGGATAGATGATTCTGGAAGTTGTGATCCAACGTGAGAGGTTGCCTGGCATTGTACTAAGAATACCAGTTCTTCAAATAATCATTGATCGTTTAAGAAAATCACCTGGAATCCCTGCCCTCCTAATAAACCACCTGTTGTCATTTTTCCATACTCTACAACTATCCTTGTCCACAGGCCAAAAATTTTTACAGAGTTCTGACCACAGCCTGGATACATCTTTTTATTGCTCATGGGCTTTTGTCGTGATGCTTCGTTATCTTCATAATGACTCTTTTTAGTGGTAATAACCCATGGAAGAGATGAGCTAAAATTTACTTAACCCTGACATTTCTCCTGCTGCCACCCCCCTCCCTCCATTATAAATAACACTGCCATAAACATCATGTGCACAGCCTTGTTCTCCTCAATTTACATCACTTCCTCAGGCTACAGTTCCAAGAGTGTCATTATCTGGCCAAAGGGCGTGAATAGTTTAGGAGCTCATGAAACATTCGATTTCCCGAAGACCTGCTACGGGTTTTTATGGCTGGCCCCACCACACCCTTGCAAGCCAAGGGTTGAAGGATTCTTGGCTGAGGAAAGAAAATCAATCATTTTAAATAAGCCTAATTAGCTGCTGAGGACATAAGCAGTTATGTGCCTATTACATTGGGACATTTCTGTTTGCTTAATTAGGGCTAATAAAAGCCCAAGATAGTAAGGCCAGGGAGGACCTCAGGAGGCATACACGTGTTGAGGTGGCTGTCTGGGTCTGCGGCCACAGCTTTGTTTGCCTTGACTCAGAAGTCAATTCGGGACCAGGTACCCCAGGGTTGACTTGTTTCCTCTAGGGACCCTTGAAGGAGAGACTTAACTCTTGGAAGGTCTGATACCCTAGAGGGTGGCCTCAAGGTTCTGCCCTGGGGACTGGAACCAATAACCACCTCAAAAGCTCTGGTGATTAATTAATACTGGTGTTCAAGCCACCATAGGACCCTGGTATATTCTCTGAAGAATATGCCTTTACTGAAGGGAAGATTCAAGGCCTGATTTTCTCCTTCTACTCCACAGCACCCCTGCTGGATGTGGGCTAGACCTCCAGTTACACGAACAGGGTGGTAGACCTGAGGTAAGAGATTAGGGGTTGCAATATGACCTGATCAGAGAACTGCTGTGCAAGAGAGACAGTGTGGACTGACAGAAATCTCAAAGTTGCCCATCAGACCTACCCCTGCCTGTCCCCCCATGTAAGGACAAGCCCAGGCAACAAGGACCTCAGAGAGTAGATGCCAGTATCTCCTGCTGCAGGCACTCTGCTTTAGAGGAAGTGAGTTGGGGAGAGAAGTATTTGCCCATAAATTCCTAGAGCTCTGTTACTTGTAATGATGCAAACCTGGAAGTCACCCAAATGCTCAGATGTAGAGGAAGAGCCAAATGGCAGAGGCACGAGTGTGTAGGGGTTTTTTTTCCCCCCAGTACAGGAGATTGAAGCCAGAAACGTTTCTTCACCACTGAGCTACTCCCCAGTTCTTTTTTTTTTTTTTTTTGAGACAGAATCTTGCTAAGTTGCTGAGGCTGACCTCACACTTACAATCCTCCTGTTTCAGCCTCCCTAGTCATTGGAATTACAGGCATGTCACCACATCCTGCTATTTTATCTCACTTGCTTATTTAATATGCGGCCCTGAGGGGTACTACCCATGACGTTAGGGGCTGTCTGGGCCTCCCCAATCCCAGCTCCCAGTGCTGCCTTAACCAGAGTAGTTTTGTTTGTTAAAGAGTAGGGCTGACACCCAGATACTAGCTGTTAGATGTTATTAAAGGAAAACACTTTGCTGGTTAAAAACAAGTTTCCTGGACTGATCTTTCTCTCTTTCTTTTTATAATATTATTGTATTTCTTGTACATTTATTTATTTATTTATTTTTATGTGCTGCTGAGGATTGAACCCAATGTCTCACACATGCTAGTCAAGCACTGAATTACAATCACAGCCCCCACCTGGACTGATCTCTTGAGTATCATCTGGGCTCTAATTCCCTCACCTGTTCCCTTTCTCATCTGGATTTCCATTCTCCCCTGTGGACACTGTAGATTTGAGGATCAGGAATCTGTAACCTCCTGTCCAGGAGCTAACACTGGTCAGGCACCTACTGGGCTCCAAGAGTTAAAAGTGAGGCTTTCTGAATCCTGATGAATGCAGAGGAGGGTAGGGATTATTATTTTCATCTCAGTGTTCAGAATCATAGCAAAAGTTAAGTCTTAGAGGAGAGCAAGTGACTCTTTGGGGAGATGGCGCTTGTAATGGTCATCCTGAGAAGTCTTTTCACTGAAAAGCAGGTCAAATGAGCAACATACAATCCTAGGGCTCAGGTCTATTAGACATCCTGGTGGCTGCACCTGCCTGCTGCAGTTTACCAAATGTATCTCTAAGTCCCACAGCCCAGCCTTTGGAGGAGATGGTGTCTGGGCCCCAAGAAGCCCCCAAGATCCTGCCCGCTGAGTGACCTGAGTATTCCAATGGTAGCTGAGGGGTTGAAGATGATCTCAGCCCCGTTGATGCTGTACATGAGCCAGTTGAGAGGGTGGTGTCGCCCATAGCAAATGTTTACTGCGATCCTGCCAAACTGGGTCTGGAACACAGGATGGCCCAGGTTTCCCTCCATGTAATAGGTTGACTGAAAAACAAAAACAAAGGACCACATATTGATGCTTCAGAGCTTCAAGAATTTCACTTTCCTTAGACGCAACAGAAAAATATGACTAGTAGTCTAAAAGTAACACTCTTGGGTGTAGACTCTACAAGTTCCAGAATTTCAATGTTAAAATACACACAGACAGATACATACACACACATACAAACACACAAATCCAGATACAATAACCAACCAACCCCAAAGGAAAATCACTGTGGTTTAAATATTTGTCCACAATCTCCTTTGTGATATGTCAAAAATCTCTGAAGCAACTTTCAAGGATAAACTATGGTGAGGTTTCAAGTAAAGGCTGAGGTTTGATCCATGCTAACAAGAGTTAACTGATGTCTACACCAACCATATGTCCTTATACAGAAGTCTGCAGCTGAAGAAACTTGTACTCATTCAAAGCAATCCTCTTCCTATTTGGAAGAGAAAACTGTCACCTGAGTAGCCATGAGACTTGCTTAACTGATTAAGGCCAAATCTGAGAGTGGAGCCCACAGAAAGCGCCTTAGGCCTCCTGCCAGGGGTTAAGGATAAACCTGCAGGGCAGACAGAGGGGAGCTCTCCCAGCTGTGGAACATTATCAGGGACAACATTAAGCAAAGATAGAGGGGAAAGGTGGATTCCAAATAGGTCTGCCTCGGAGCCTTTGTTTCTTCTCATTCATTTCAAAATTGATGAGGATCAGGAAGCAACCAGGATATGCACACGTGGCCGATGCAAGAGCATATCCTGTTCTGAGACCTGCCCTCTGCTATCTGTGGGAGCTAAAAATTAATCAGAGGGTAAACAGGTGAGGGGCATGTCTTCCCACATCCACCTCCAGCTGTTACTGTGAAACCTGGGTTCTTCTCTCTCCTGGGGAACCTCATCTAGCCCTGTAAATGATTTCTTGTCTTCTCAACCAGCATAAGAGTAGCTGAGAGCCCTGTGACTGCAGAGGGAGGACCAAAAACTGAAACTGCACTTACTGAAAATCATATTCAGATTTAATATCTTAGGCATTAGGTGGAGTTCATTTCCCTTCTTCCAATATCCACTCCCTCCATCTCACTCACCTATGAATTGACATGAACCAATCAAAACAGTCCCTGACTTATGCCCTGACAACAGGAATGAGAAGTCTCATGTAACACACATATACATATTCACCCCCATCACCCAATACACGGACTTGGGCCAACTCAGACACCATGGGAGCCACAGACGAGCAATGCTACCCCGAAAACTAGGATTGGACTATGGTGGGCTAGGTGCTCAGATCCTGTAAGGGGCTTCAGGAATCATTTCATATTTGTGCACTACTTTGGTTTTAACTTAAGTACCACTTATTGCAAAGGATAGTTTCAAGAAGTCATATCAGGTTATAGTTTAAAAATGTATAAAAATTCCACTGTGCTCCAGGTGTCTGTGGCTCACCTGCCAGATAATGTCTGAATATCATCTGCTTGTGTGATGCATGGCAACATCATGAGACCCTCTGAGCGTCACATCCATACTATTCCAGCATTACATGGCACCACGTTATTTCACACAGAAAGCCCAGTGAGATTTGTAGACTAAAGAGCAAGCACAGTGATGCAGCTCACCTCATTGAAATCTCCCACTCTAGGGATATGGTTTTTCCTGGTCTTTCCCAAGACTGCTCCAGAATTGGAGATCACCACGGCTGTGTTCCACAGAACATTCCCATGATCTCTGTCTCGTTCCAGGATGGGGGACACCACCACCATGTTATGCTTCTTTGCTAGCTGGAAATATAAATAATTCAGAGTTCTACTTTCAAATCAATTGTTAAAGTTCTTTTTTTAAAATAAATATTTATTTTTTAATTGTATTTGGACACAGTACCTTTATTTTATTTATTTATATGTGGTGCTTAGGATTGAACCCAGGGCCTTGCATATGCTATGCTAGCACTCTACAGTTGAGCCACAACCCCAGCCCATTAAAGTTCTTTTATTGGAGAAGAACTGAATGATCCTATTAAATAATTGGGCTTGGTTTGGAGCTATCACTCATAGCAGTTGTCTGGAACACTAAATGTCATTGTCATCCTGATGCCCGTGGTTAACTAAACAAGAATAATCACTATTCTTTTGAAAAATATCTTTTTAGCTATAGATGGACACAATATCTTTATTTTACTTATTTATTTTTATGCAGTGCTGAGAATTAAACCCAGTGCCTCACACATGCTAGGTGAGCACTCTACCACTGAGGAGCCACATCCCCAGCCCATAATAATTATTTTTGTGCTCTGCTGGTAAGAACATTAAATGGAAAACTATAGAGAGGTTCCCCACACCCACCCCTCAATTAAATATAGAATTACATGATCCTACTTCTGGATATATACCCAAAGGAACTGAAAGCAGGACTCAAAAAGATAATTCTACATGCAGATTCATAGCAGCATTATTCACAATAGCCAAGAGATAGAAGCAACTCAGGTATCCATCAATAGATGAATAGGTAAACAAAATGTGGTCTATCCATACAATGGAATATTATTCACCCTCAAAAAAAAAGGAAAGCCTATTACATGCTACAACATGAATAAACATTAAGGACATTATGTTCATTGAAATCAGCCAGTCAAGGGGCTGGGGTTGTAGAGCATCTGCCTAGTATGTTTGAGGCACTGGGCTCAATCCTCAGCACCCATAAAAATAAATCAATAAAATAGAGGTTAAAAAAAATAAAAAGAGGGCTGGGGATATAACTCAGTTGGTAGAGTGCTCACCTTGTATGCACAAGGCCCGAGTTCGATCCCCAGCACCACAAAATAAATAAATAAATAAAATTTAAAAATAAAAATAAAAAAGAAACCAGTAAGTCAAAAAAAGGACAAATATTCTCTGATTTACTTATATAAGATAGAGTAATCACATCACATGAAGAAAAAATAGAATGGTGGTTGATAGTGGCTGGAAGCAGGGGAAAGGGAAACTATTGTTTAATGGGTTCAGAGTCTCAGATCTATAAGATGCAAAAGTTCTGGAGATGTGTTGCACAACAATGTGAAAATACTTTACTGAACTGTACATATAAAAATGGGTAAGAGGGGCCAGGCACGGTGGCTCATCCCCACTCTCAACACTTACATTGGGGATTAGTTTGTAACACAGCAACTTTGGGGATCACATTTTAGCCATAGCAGATGCTACATTCCTAAGGGGTGACCTTGAACCTCTGGTCCCTTTAATGTTGATTGGCATCAGATCTCATTCACGCCCTTCTTCTAGCCCTAGCTCAGACTTATGAACTGCAATAGCCCCCTAAGGAGTCCCCTTCTCTTTTCCATAGCAAGGAATCAACAATCTGATAAACAAGAGATTGTTTTCCCCCTATAGTCCGAGAATACTGATATTTAGAATCACAACTTAGTATTGATAAAAATCACTATGATTATAGCTCTGCCCCCGAACTTTTTAAGGATATATGAAGTCTAAAAGAGAAGACAGAAAAATGAGAGGAGTTCCTTCATTATGGATGAGAATAAGGATAAGTTAATATCCATCACTTTTTCTTTTTTCAGGGTACCAGGGGTTGAATTCAGGGGCACTCTACCACTGAGCCACATCCTCAGCCCTATTTTGTATTTTATTTAGAGACAGGGTCTCACTGAGTTGCTTAGCACCTCGCTGTTGCTGAGGCTGGATCTGAACTTGCAATCCTCCTGCCTCAGCCTCCTGAGCCACTGGGATTACAAGGCATGAGCCACCTCACCCAGCTGTTATGGGTTTTTCTGATAACAGCTTTATTAAGACATAATTCACATACCATAATTCACATACTCTTTTAAAGTATGAAATTCAGTGGGTTTTAGTAGATTCACAGAATTGTGGTAACCATCACCATGATCTAATTTTAGAACATTTTCATCACCCCATGATAGGGTTTCATGGAAACCCTATCCCTATGAGTAGCTACTCCCCTACTTTCCTTAAACCAGACCCTAGCAACCACAAATTTGCTTTCCATCTCTAGAGATTTATCTGGGCAGTTCATATAAATGGGATCATATCACATGTGTTATGATGTTTTAATAAAAAAAAATCAAAACAAATTTCTACCTAATGAGACAGATCATGCATCAAAACCTACGTGACGCAAGCAAATGGCGACCGGAGTAAGCAAAACTCTGGACAAAGAATCAATGTCCCTGGACTTACTATATGGAAGTCATAGACCACCTCTATAGGAGGTACAGTTTCCTCACCTGAAAAAGCCACAAAGTCAATTCCAGCTCTGAAGGTCTATGATTTTTAAGTGAACATACACTTAAAAAAAAAAAAGGTGGCAAACAGTCTTATCTACTTTATCTGGTAAAACAAGAACCAAACAGTTACATTTTCCATGGCAAAGAGCCACAGCTGACAGTTGTGGCCAGCTCTGTGACCCATGCAGGTTCAGTAGCTCTTGTTCGAGGAGCAGTTAATGTCTTACCTTCTGACAGAATCTGGTGGTGGGCCCATCCTCTGCTGACTCAGCAAATTCTGTCCAAGGAAGCTTCTCTCTCGTACAGAAAGCAAAGGGCATAGCTGTAAAGGGGAGAAAGGTTAGAATTCTATCACCCACAGCCTCTGGGTATGCTCCTCAGCTCAGCTACAGGAGATCACTATTGGGACCCTCCTTCTCCCAGGGACAAGGAGGCTTCTTCAGAAATGAGAATTAGCATGTTCAAAGATAAGCATGTTCAAAGATAAATGCATAAATGCATAAATGCATCCCATGATCTTTGGCTAGACCCTGCCAGGGAATTAATTCAGTAGAAAATTTCATTAAACTAACTGGTTTTTGTTTTGTTTTGTAGTGCTGGAGATCCAAACTCAGGGCCTTACACACGATAGGCAAGCATTCTACCACTTTCTAGATGCATTTCTAAATGTCTGCTATTGTTCTACCAGTTCCGAACAAACCAACTTTAGAAAAACATCTGTAAGATGCTTCATGATGTGACTTTATGGTGTTCAACTGCCTTGGCATGGGGGTTTGTGGCCTATTTTAAAACCACAATGGTAGATAATATTTCCCCCCCACAACACCAGTTGTGCTAAGGGGCAGGTCTTCTCTGACACCCTCAGAAACAGTTGTGTAGAAAGAGAAGCCTCAGCTTCCGAATTCCTCTAGTCCCAGGATGCCTGGTCCTAGGACTGCACCAGACTGAGCACACCACCAATGGTACCAGCAGCCTCTCCGTGCCCCAAACAGGCAGCAAGTGCTGCCAACAACCACCCCCAAGACCCTTGGTACCAGACTTACGGCTCCCCTGTGTCCCTTTGGTGAGGTGAAGACAAATGAACTATTTTAAGGAAGATGACAAAAAAGCTGTTGATAACAAAAATGCTCTTTAATGACCATTAATTCTCAGCTTTCAGAGCATTAGTAATGACTCAAGTGCCCCTAGAGAATACAATCTCCCATGCTGATTTCATTTCAAGTCACTAAGGCCTCCAAATCTCTCCATTTCCACTTTTAATGGCTTTTATTTCCTGTTTACAAATACTCCAACATAAACAAACCTTCAAGAGGAATGGAGATAAGGAATGGAGGCTGGGTGAGGTCAGGGGCTATAATGCCCCAACTCTAGTTTTCTAATTAAAGGGTAAGACATGATGGACCACTCAATGAGCCAGGCTCCTGACTCTGACGTGGTTCTGTCCTTGGAAATTGCCAGCCTAAAGAGGAAGAGACAGATTGTGACCTGGGATGGCTGCACAACCTGGCAGGACAAAGTGCTCGGTTCTGCCAGAGAGAATCTCCAGGGCCCCACCAAGGAGGGGGTGTCCATGGTAGGCCTCAATGCATGAGTGGCAGTTCCAATCCAATAAAAGGAAGAAGTTGAATAAGGAACCAGTCTAAAAATCAAAATGGCATTACTGATACTAAAGTTCCACATGACCAAACAGAAACCTAAGTTGTTATCCAACCTTAAGAAAGAGAAATGATAGCCAAATCTCCAAAACAGACCAGTTTCAGTCAGTATGATACTGTCATTCCCTCTACTTTAATCTTTACCACAAAACTAATCTGAAGTAATGTGATGTTAACTATTTTCAGTTATTTTTCTATTGTTCATCTTCCTATCTCCTGCCTTTCAAGGAAAGTAACTTTGAAGCAACCAATCCTCTCTTTGTTCTTTGTTTCTACTTGATTCAGCCCTTCTCCTTTATAAAGCCAACCTCTTTCTTCTCAGCTCATTGGAATGCAGTGTTGCCTGATTCTAGACTCACCAAGTCAATTAAGAACTTCAAACTATGCTTATTGTAATTTTGTCTTTTGACAGGAGAAAAGATCTAATAAAACAATACAAGAAAATGTAGATTTGCAAGACCCAAGTTTCTAGACTGAAAGAATCCATTGAGTGCCTAGAATAATGATGGAGAGAGGTACACACAATGGGACATTATTATGAAATTGCAGAGCATTAGCCAAAAAGAGAAGATCCTATAATCATCCAGAGAAAAATAAGTCACAGACAATAGGTCATAAATTAAAATGGCTTTGGGCTGGTCAACAACATTCAAAGCTAGGAAGTCATGAAGCCATATGTTTAAACTTCTGAAAGAAAATTATTTCTAACCTCACATTTGATACCTATCCAAACAATCAAGCAAATTGTAGAAGACACATATTTTAAGATGTGCAAGGTCCCAAAACGTTTTTCTCCCATGTGTTCTTTCTGATTTCTCAGGGGGCCATTCCACCCAAAGGAGTAATCAGAAAGAGGAAGGAAAGAAGACGCCTCAGGATGATGATCCTGAAAACAGACTCCTCAGGATGATGAATGGATCAGTTGTGTGACCAGCAGGTGGGGCAAGTAATTCAGACTGGAGCAGTTAGAAGGTTCTGGGACAGATTCCTTTAAGGAGAGGAAATTGGTAGACTGCTTGATGTGTCTAAACAGGTTAAGGAATTTAGGAGAAAGTATGAAGTTGAACTTATGGTTTACGTATGTAGAAAACAAATCACGCTGCAGGGAAAACAAAAAATTATTCAGGAAAAGAAATCAAAATGGCTCAGTGGAAACTGAACGGGGAATAGACGAGGAAGGACACATGTATGTAGAGGCGGGCATGAGGAGGCAAAGCACTTCTATAGTGGGAAGTCCACGAATGACGTAAAACTGAAAAATTAGGAAGTAACTATAGAAACAAAGGTAAATTCCAAATAACAAGCTAAGTGTAGAAAGAAGATGTCTTGGGGTAGGAGAACAGCTGTTTTTTTTTTTTTTTTTTTTTTTTTGGTAACAGACCTTACAGACCTATTTTGAGTCTAAACCACAAGCACATATAATTTCAAAAAAAATAAACAAATAAATAACATAAAGGAAAAGCACATGGTACCAGGAATGCATATAACAGGACTTGATTTTAGACAGGCAGGCTAATTGGATTTAAGATCTGAAGGTGAAGCAAGGTTAAGAGAGGCCAGAGGAAGAGGGTTTAAGGAGATCAGCCGGAGAGGTGATTATAAAAGCTGAGGAGAAGACTAGGGGGTGTAGCTCAGTGGTTGACTACATGCTCAAGGTCCTGGGTTTAATGCCTATCATTTAAAAAAAAAAACTGAGAGAGATTTGGTAGCTTGGAACAGGGCAGTGGTACAGAGGGAGGGAGGAGTTAAAGGGATTCAAAAAGATGTGAAAGACAGAAGTGAAAGGATCAAATGACCAAGTAGAGCCTGTGTGAGAGAGGGAGGCCAGGTTTCCTGGGATTCTGGTGTTGTTGACAAATGGTCTTTCTATAGAAAGAAGTTTTGGTTTTGTTGTTGTTGTTTGTTTATTTTTGTTGTTGTTTTTTAAATAGGGTAGCAGACACTCTTGACAACATGGAGAGAAGACACAATTGTTTGAAGGTAGCTGAGAAAGCATCACAAAAGACTTACTCCATGCTTCCTGGAAACAGATGATATTGACTCCACACATTGCAGCCACCTCGGCAATGGCCTCTATGCGTCTATGAAGGGCAGAGACCTGATGATTTAAAAAGCAAGGATTAGAATCCATTCGGTTCTTCTGAGAAGACAATTTGAAAGAATTTATCCCAATGCACATAGAACAACAAACTCCCACCTGACCAGGTGTGAGGAGATGAGTGGGCTAGGGAGGTTCTAATAGCTGGTTATATCATCAGACTAAAATCTGCAATATAAAGCGGAGGTACAGAAGCTCTGGTTCCCATGGACACTGTCTCAATTTCCTCACCTGGCAATGGGGAAACAACCACCAGATTCATGCGGTTGCTGAGAAGTATGAATAAATCTGATTCTGTGTACTGTGTACAAGGTGCACATGCATGTGTACACACACACACACACACACACACACAAAATCTCCCCCTGGACCAGCTGCTCCCTTGGCTCCAGACAGTCTACTCTGCACCATCCTGCATTCAAGGTGCCGGGCTTGCTTGTCCTGCCATTTCCACTGTCCTGTGTGAATCATAGCTGCCAACTCACCTTTCTGATTCTTCTAACTCTTCATGCACTGGTGTGTGCCCTTGGTCAGGAATGAGCTTCCCCCAACCTCTCAGTTTTCCCAGATATGTGACATCTGTGTCACATGTTGTCCTTCTGTGAGCCTTCTGCAGATTCTCCCAGCTTTCTCTGGGTGCTCCTTTGGCAGCACTATTCCCATTTTGCTGCCACTGTTTCTCTACTGTCTCATTCCTGGGATCTCACACGCTCCCCAATCCCTGGCTCCAAGAAACATTCCATAGTGTTCACTCAAAGAAAGACCAAAGGAACCAGGCTGAAAACCCAGAGAGCACAAACTCTTTCCAATGCTCTCAGTCTCTTCCCCAAGAGGCTATTAGCTCCAGGCCTCCACACACACATAGTGTCAGCACAAATTTGCTCCATGTTACCAACATGCAAAAAAATACTTCTAGGTGCCATGGGCGCAAGAACATTGCTGGCCCTACAAATTGACCATCTGGGATGATAGGGAGGATATATTCACAAGTAACAAATCCAGAGAAAAAAGTAAACTGAGAACCACATATCTTTTTTTCGATGATGGTGGTGGAATGCTGGGGATCAAACTTGGGCACACCAGGCCAGCACTCTACCACTGATATCTTTCAATCCCTCAAAAGCAAAGGAAGGATCAACATGAAAGATGATTCAGAACCTGACCAGGAATCCAAGTGACCTTAAGTTTCTCAAGAATCCCTAAGAATTCCCAAGAGTACTACATCATGAGGAAAATTCTGCAAAGAAAGCCATCGAAGTTTGAGCAGCTGGAGGAATTCTGTGAAGAAGTATATAAACTAACCACCTGTGTCTGTCTGTGGTGATGTTTCTTTAGGGAAATGCACAATGCTCCCACATTTATTTGCTAACCATAAGCTCATAAACGAACATCTATCATATTCCTATCCGCTTGTGGGCACCATCGACTGCAATAGTTCTGGGTATAGGGAGTCTCTGCCTTTAGGATTAAAGCATGGGACAGTCCTGCCAGTGTATGCTGACAAGTGGCCTTCTGGCAGGTGACTGAGAGGCAGTGTCCCATGAAGAGAGCTCTAGTTAGCCAAATGGGCACCCTCCTAATTGGAAAATGGGACTTAATCAGGATCAACAGCTGGACAGGAAGTGAAAGGGAAGGTGGAAAGAACAGTAAGGAAGAGAAAGGGTAAAAACCAGAAGAGAAAGAAAAGTTCAAGATTCAGGCTGGAGGAAAACGAGGAGGTCCGGCAGAAGTGTTTTAGCTATCCTTTGAGACACATGGGCTTGTGGATTTAGATGAGTGGCCAGCCAAGGACTGTGATGTGTTCAAAGCAAAGGGTGAGCCAGAGCCTTGTTTGTGTTTATGATCAAGAGAGGCTGCACCTGGGGGCTGGGGTTTTGGCTCAGTGGTAGAGCGCTTGCCTAGCAAGTGTAATGCACTGGGTTCAATCCTCAGCACCACATAAATAAATAAAATAAAAAGATATTGTGTCTATCTACAACTAAAAATAAATAAATAAAGGTTAAAAAAAAAGAATTCTTAGAGAGAGAGAGGGGAGGGGGCTGTACCTGTTCTGCCACAGGGGCATCCGCAGGGAGGGGGGTTCTGTTCTGAACTAGCCCCACACGCACGATCTGGGGGCGTCTCAGCTGCTCTTTGGCTGCCTCAAAGGCATATCCCTGTAGTTCAAAGTTTCCTTCCGAGGCAACTTCGAAAGCTCTGCTGGGCAGATCAAGCTTCCTAAATGAGCAGAAGAAGGAAGAGGATTTTGATGACATTTCCTGCATCTAAAGTTCCTCTCCCAGGGATAGGTGTGTAGTTCAGTGGGACAGGGTGGACTCGGCACACTTGAGGGCCTGGGTTCCATGCACAGGGCTGCAAGGGGAAAAACCCAGACTCTCTGCAGTTGTTTATCAAGTAGAGTTTGGGAGTGTCCTTGGTCAAGGGTATCCAGTGCCAGGGCCCAAGGGGGCTAGGAAGCAGGAGGGCTAGGCCATGAATAGACACTATGCTGAGTCCAGACTCTACCTAATAGTCAATAGACTTTAGCACAGAGGTGGCATGGTTAGGCCTGGCAGAGTGGGGAAAGAACAACCAGACAAGAGGTTAGTGTTTTGCAGTTATGGAAATCAGGGCAGGGATCAAAGTTCCAACAGTCAGCACAGAAAGGAGGGAGTAGTTCCAAAACATGCTTCTGATCTAGAATCAGAGGGCCATGCTGATCTTAGGGAATGGCACAGGCTGTGATAACAGAAAAGGGTTGCAGAGGATAGGGCTCAGGAGACAGGCTGGATGGAGGCCAAGAACTGATACTATGAGGAGGGCCTTGCGGCCATTGGCCCTTAAGAAAGCTGAGTCTTGGGTGGGTCATCTCCAGGTCCTGTCCTCTGCTGTTCCCATTAGGGATCCAGTTCCATGCCTGGTGTTGGGAGTGGGGTTTGATGGACCCAGGTGAAGGCCCAAGGATCCAGATTGAAGGTCTGGATCCAAGTTTGTGGTTTATTAACAAAGGCTAGAAAATTATTTATAAAACTATCCACCAAAGTGGCCACTGTTCAAACAGCAAGTAACTTCTCATAACCTGTTGCATGCCAGGAGCTGGGGTAAAACCCCAGAGGAATAGTTCATGGCCCTGGGCCAGGAAGGACTTACCATCTAAGGGTGAGATGATTATGAAATACCCAGAGAGCACATCAAAAAATAACCTGACAGCCATTATCTAATAATAATATTTCTCTCCTACTTTAAATCACTTTCTTAAAGACATTTCTTTCAAAATCACAGCCCTGTCAGCCCAAGCCCCCTGTTGCCGCCCCCTGCCAGGCGCTTTCCAAGTGATGGCCCTGACAGCTCTGAGTTCGGTTCCGCCCCTGACAATCAGCCTGCTTTTCAAATAGTCAAGGTTCCCTTCCTGCTGGCAGGTTAGAAATAGCAGCAGTGCCCACACCTCGCCTCCCCTCGCTGTACCTCCCACCCCCGGACGGAAGAGTCCCCTCTCGTCCCCCTCTCGCAGGCCTCAGCCTCAGGGCAAGTCATCCTCCATGGACACAGTCACACAGCTTTCCAGGAGCTACTATCTGAGGATGCATGAGCAGCCACAGGAAGAAAATAGGAGAAAGGTTTTATTTCCCTCCAAAGGCTGGTGGGTCCCGGGGACAAATTGCCCTGTGCAAATATCCTATGGTTTTAGTCTGGGAAGATGTCAGGTGGAGGAGCCTGGCTCCTGTCTGGTGAGGAAGCCTGGCTGTAACCTGGCAGACATCCCTCTCTGTTCATGGCTCACAGCTGTTTTCTCTTTCTGCCACCATCAGTCTTATTATCCCCTCATCTCCCCACCCATTGGCTATGTCAAGTGCTGCCTGCTGGCCCTGAGCCTGTGTACTCCCTCATTCCACAATCCCTGTGGATATTTTTCTACGCCCAAGGTGAGGCGATGCAGGGCAGGGCTGCTCCACCCTCCAGTTCAGCCACCTCTGAGGATACACTCTCTTTAGCATCTCTATTTTCTGGTCACTACCTATAAAATCTCTTACCCCACAGTGTCTAAGAGATCAAAACCTACACTCAAGGTATACCCTGTGCTAGGTCCTTCAAAGGTTTGGACCGGAAATGAACTACAACCTCACAAGGTGAACTTGGGTTATCTGATGGAGGATGCAGTGGGGTACTGCAATGGACTGAATGTTTGTGTCCCCCCAAAATCACATGTCAAAATCCAACCTCCAAAATAATAGGGCCCTGGGATGATTAGGTCACAGGGATGTAACCCTAAGAATGGAATTAGTGCATATATATATATATATATATAAATAATTGGCCTAGCCAGATATGGTGGCACACACTTGTAATCTCAGTGACTGGAGAGGCTGAGGCAGGAGGATCACAAATTTGAAGCCAGCCTGGGAAACTCAGTGACAGCTCGTCTCAAGATAAAGAAATAAGTGGTAGTGTGCCCCTGGTTCAATCCCCTGTACCACACACACACACACACACACACACACACATACACTAAAAAAAAAAAATGAATATAAAACCAAAAAGGCCTAAAAGACGTTACTTGCCCCTTGCACCATTCGTACACATAGCAAGTAGGAGTAGGCATAAATCATGAACAGGAAACTGATCCTCACCAGACACTGAATCTGCCAATGCCTTGTTAATGAACTTTTGAGCCTTCAAAATACATTTCAGTGGTTGAAAATTCACCTAGTCTATGGTGACTAAGACAGGTCCTGTTCACCCATAGTCCAGGAAGGCACAGGGACCAGAAAATGAGATACAGCCTCACCAGGGGGATCTGTGGCTACCTGCAGCCCAACCCTGGCCCCTGTAGTTGACTTTCAATCCCTCTATCCATCACCCTGCAACTGAAACCACCCCCTCTCCTGGCCTCAGCTCCATCTTCAAGAAGGAGAGAGGCTGTCACTTCCTGTCCTGGCTGCGACACACCCTCTTGGGCCCCCACCTCTCCTTCCTGGGTCAAGGCAGACCTGGCCTAAGGGCCCCAAGCTTCCTCAGCAGCCTCTCACTTCAGGCACTTTATCTTTCTGCCTCTATTGACTATTTACCATCAGTATTTTAAATTATTAAACTAGAGATTTGTTACAAGAGAAAATGCCCATGGAGGGGGGAAATTTAGAAAAGATATAAAAAGAAAAATAAGTTCCTCCCCAAGCCCTAGGCCCATACCTTGCAGATGGTCCCTCTTAGTAATGTTTTGTGCCTCCTTCCACAGTTTTTCTATGTAGGTACAGGTATTACAAATACAATCATCAGGCTGCATTTTCTATTCTTCAACTTGCCTTTTTCACTTGACAGTACATAGTCATGTACTATGTAACATTTCTATCACAGATGGAATGTATAAGCGACTGTGGTCCCATAAGATTATAATGGAGCTGAAAAATTCCTATCATTATAGCTATCATAACACCGTAGTATAATGTATCATTTCACATGTTTGTGGTGATACTGGTGTAGACAAACCGATTGTGCTACCAATCATATATATTGCACATAAATTATATATGGTTACATAACACTTGATAATGATAATCAACAATAGTATTACTGGCTTTTGCATTTACTATACTTTTTATCATTATTTTAGAGTGTACTTTCTATTTATACAATGTGAGAATACCATCAGCAGCCTCATATAGATCATGTTTTCTATACCTGCTGATTATAACAAGAGACCACATCAAAGGGCTGAGGTATAGCTCAGTAGTATAGAATATGCCTAGGCTGTGTGAGGCCTGGGTTCAATCCCCAGCACCACTGGGAGAAAAAAAAATGAGACCACACTGAGTTGTCACATTGCTACATTGAAAGGCCACATTGATTGACCTATGCCATCTGGGTTTCTGTAAGTGAACTCTATGATATTCACTCAACCACAAAATCACCTAAGGATGTGTTTCTCAGAACATATCCCCATCATTAGGTGACATATGACTGACTACATAACTTGGACATCCCTCCCTGTTACTACATATAGACCCACCACATTCACTATTAAAGCAATTAAAGCTGTTTGACTCTCTCCCATTTAAAAAAAAAAAAAAAACAGAGCGGTGCTGGGGATATAGCTCAGTTGGTTGAGTGCTTGCCTAGCATGCACAAGGCTAGCACCACCATAAAAGAGAGAGAGAGAGAGAGAGAGAGAGAGAGAGCACTCCACACATCCTTCTTGCTCTCCCACCTCCACAGGAAGCTTCCACATACACTTCCTTTCAGCTCAGCCCTCACCTCCTACACCCTTCTCAGCCCCCTGTTCTCAGGTCCCTACTACCTACTGTAGGAACCACCCCGTGCATTTTCATCATTTAAGCCCAAACTGTCTTTGACTAACAAACATCCCTATACTATCTAATGCTTCTTTCCTCTCCCATTCTAGAGTCCTCCCATCTATACATCCTCACCTTCAGAGTCTCTGCTTCTCTGACTATTCTAATATTTGGAATCTCCAGCATTCCCTCTGGGCCTCTCCCACTCCACCTGGGAGGATCATCTCCAGCACAGTTCTAAAACAGCTTCTCCCCATCAGGCCTTCCTCCACACAACAAAGGGCCACTGGACATCTCTAAATGGAGACCCCAAGAGTACCTATCAGGGGTTGAACTATATCCACATCTTAATATTTAGAACCTATGAATGTGACCTTATTTGGAAAAAAGGGTCTTCACAGATGTAATTAAGTTAAGAATCTCAAGATAAGATCATCCTAGATTATTCAGATAAGCCCTAAATCCAATGAAAAGATTTTTTTTGTTTGTTTGATTGTTGCTTTTGGCAGTGCTGGGGATGGAACTCAGGGCCTCAAGCATGCTAGAGCTAGGCAAGCACTCTACTGCTGAGCTACATCCCCAGCTCAACGACAAATATTCTTATAAGAGACACCAAGAAGAGAGTCACAGGGACAACAGGAGAAGGCCATGTGAAGATGAAGGCAGAGATTGGTTGCCACAAGCCAAGGAACCCCAGAAGCTACCAGAGACTACAAAAAGGCAAAGAAGAATTCTCCCCCAGAGCATCTGGAAGGAGTGTGGCACTGTAGACACCTTGCTCTTGTACTTTTGGTCTTTACCACTGTGAAAATGTAGATTACTGCTGTTTTAAGCTCACTATTACAATTTTGGCAGCCCTAGGAACTACATAACACAACGAACTCAATTCATCCAAAGTTGAACTCATCATTATTCTCAAAGGCTGCTCCTCATCATAGGAAACCACCAGTCACCTGTGGGGTAGAAGCCAAAAGCCAGGAATGATCCTCACCACCTCTGCCACACCTCCCATCCACTGTCCACTGGGCCCCTGACACTTCTCCATCTCCAGGTACTCTGTTTGCCTCTAGGCCTCTCATCCTTCACCTGTCCTTTTCCAGTCCATTCTTGACATGGCTACTGTGGAAAATGCCCCAGTGTTTCCACTACTATAAGGATGAATGTCCACTGCTATAGCATGGCATACAGAGCCCGCATGGATCTACACTGGCCACTCCTGCCTTCTCCTGTTGGGTTTCTTCAATCTACTCTATGACCTCCTCTTTCAAACATGCAGTCCATGACTAGGCATGTCCCCCAGTGTCTGGAGACACAAGCCCTTCCTATCTCCAAATGAACCCCTTTGTCTCCTTCAGGATACAGCGTAAGTATGACAGCCCTGGGGAAACCTTCCTGCCATCCTTGAACTACAAACAGGTAAATTCTGTTAGGCTCTCCTTTATCCTTCTTTCACAATGTAAAACAATCATCAAAAGATGGAAAGTGGGGGCTGTGGGTACAGCTCAGTGACAGAGCACATACCTAGCATGCACAAAACTCTGAACTGGAGCCCTAGCACTACAAAACAAACAACAAAAAACCTCAATGGTTTCTTATCCTAGTATCCCAGGTGCCCAAGACAAAAACAAATGATAAATAAATGTTTGTTGAATGAATGAATGCTTCTTAGTACTGACTATCTTAAAATGAGAGTTGATGTCCTCTGGGGATTTCATCTGTCTGGTGTAGGCAAAAGGCCATTTAGCTCATTCACTTAGCAAACATTTACCAAGCATTAGCTCTCTTTCTTTTTTTCCCCCAGTATCACTGTGCCCAGCTAAGCATTGTCTGCATTAGGCACAACAAGTAATCAGAGAGAAGGTGGTCTTGTAGGGAGCAGAGTGGGAGTCCAGCGTAGGGACTGAGGACTCCAGAACCACAAGGCCTTCACAGAGGTGACCATGTCCAAGCTAGGCTCTAAGCAGTGCATAGATGAAGCAGGAGGTAATTAATTTTCTATCTTCAGTTGGAAATCCTGCTCATAGCTGAATTCTACCCAATCACAAGGACTGAGCAAGTACGAGGATTTATACCCAAGTGCTAAAAGAGACTGAACAGAACACAACCAAGAAGAAAAAGCAGAAAAAGGGGAGCCATTTGCTCAGTTATTATAAGTCAAGTCCCAACACAAGGCCTGACAGACACTGGTCAATAGATGTTGGTTAGCACTTTTCCCACCCATTATAATCCCTCTCTATTCTGGAGTTCTCCAAATACTGATTTAAAAAACAAAACAAAACAAAACAAAAAACTCTAGCATGGTTGTCTCTGGCCTGACCTCAGCCCTAATTTCAGAATATGTCCCAGTCAGCCACTTATGTGGGGAAGTATTTCTTTTTTCCTAGTATGCTGCAGTTTTACCTCTCTTGACACCCATAAGCTCACTAGTTTTTTTTTTTTTTTCAGCAGAACATGTGAACATGCTCATCTCACCCTTAAAATAAATTAATTCCCATTCCTACTAACTGTAGCCTGAGATATACCCTCGCTTTATTTAAGACACCTTCTTTGGGAGCCTTAGTGCTAAGATACTTCTCAGATAACACCTTATAGGTGCACTGGGAAGTACAATACAGCATTGGACACACTGAGAGGGACCTTAAAGGTTATCTAATTCCTTTATCTAAAGGTATGAAGAGCCTCTTTTTTTTTTTAACAAAACCCCAAAGATAGCTTTATTCTACCTTTAGATATCCTCTAGCTGTGAAAACATCTTTGGTCTGGTCTCCCTGCCAGAACTCCAATAGTGATTGAGAACCATTGATTCAGTCAATGCCCTCTAGTTGCAGATGAGCAGATTAGGTTCTTGTTGGAAGGCCACTTGCACAAGGTCATAGAGCAGGTAGTCTGCTGGACTGCGGGGAGGCAAGAAGCCCACAAATGAACAAGGAAGTGGAAGGAGATTTAGCCAGGGCTTCTTGGGGTCAGAGTTTGAAGTTCATTCTAAGAGACCAGGAAAATCCCTTATATTTTTAAGTAAAAGGCAACAGGATGTGATCTGCATTTTTAAAAGGTCTTTCTGGTAGTTCCAGAGAAGCCTAGACTAAAGAAACAACAATGGAAGCGAAGTGTCTTTTCCAGCTCTTTATATCTAGTGTCCATCCAATAGTGCATTGCCCTCAGAGAGTTCTGGTGACACACATGATTAGCTAGGGGTGGAAAAACTTTTTTTTTACTGAACATGGTAACTAAACCTTTGCTTGCCAGTGGAAAAGTTTCCTTTGCCAATTAGATTCAGCTGAACTCTACCAATAAGGGTCCAGAAGGCAGTCACTCCAGGCAGGAGAGACTGGAGCCAGATAATCAACTGCACTTACTAGGAGGCTCTGTTTGGAAGCATTTACTCAGCCAAACCCCGCGGAGGGCAGGCCGGGTTCTGGAAAAGAAACTGCTCAAAGGGCAGAGGAGTGCTGGTGTGGCCACAGAGAAAGCCCAGGAAAGAAACTCTCAAACCCTTCCTTTCCCTTCTAGTTCCAGGCATAATGTGTGAGGGTCTCCCTGGAATCTTGCAACCCCTCACGGCCCGGGGCTGTCGTATCTGTGATTTCTATGAGTTTTGCCGGCCTATGTAGGACCTCATTACCGTCACCTCAGAGCGCTTGAGACCCTGAAGCCCTCTCGGTTCCCGAGACCCCACACCTCGCAACTCTGCCTCTGGGCCCCTGACCTGGTCTCCTTGCCATAAAGAACTCGCTTCACCTCCCGCAAGTCTTGGGATGGCAGATGCTTCTCCAAGCACTGCTCCAGCGACTCCCACTCAGCTCCCGCCATGGCTAGAGTCCTCCAGCGTTTACTTCCGAGAGGAACGGCCTACCCTTTGGCCCCAAGAAAAGTAGGAGGAGCAGGCAGCAGCCGCCAGATCCGCGCACTTGCCTTCCCTTCTATTCGGGCGCCCTCCCTCTCCCCACTGGGCGGGCTTACATGCGGACACGCCCACTCCGCCTACCTCGGCCGGCTGTGCGACTGGGGTTGCCCCTTGCCCTTCGCGCCTCTTTGACTCGCGCCTAGACTACCCCTCCGCAGCTGGACCACCACCCGGAGCCCTCGCGCCTCGGGTGCACAAAGTGGCAACAGGCTGCTTCTTCCTGCTTCCCTCGCAGGTGCCGGGGTCAGAGGAGGGGGTTCTCTCGCTTTCTTACCCTTCCTCGCCCTCAGGTACCTCTCTCACCTGCCCCACGGTGTTGGGGAGTGGCTCTGGAGAAGCAGTGAGCGAGACCTAGACGCGGTCTCCTGGGGGCTAAGGCGCGGGTCTGAAGTAAACGGTCAGGTCGACTCTCAGATCTTCGCTGGGGCTTGTTCCTGCCTCTACTTTGGTTTTCGTTCCGCAGAATGGTGTAGCAAGCTGGGCGGTCCCACCGCACCGGACTGCCGAGAAAGGTACAGGATTAATTTTAGTGCCCCAGGGTTAGGAGGTAGCAACTCTGTCTTATGAAGCCCTTCGTGTCTGAGGATTTCTAACTCCCTAGGCCCAGAGTCTTGGGAGTCCTGGCCGTAACTAACTGGGCATTGCGACTTCGTTTGCGCCAAAGGTCAAGTGATGGGCAATAGAAACCTGCGATCACACATACCTTAGTGGAGTCAGTACTGTAAAATGAGGGGTCCCTGGGCAGGACACCCTCTCTGGACGCTGGATTCCCCTTCAGCTCCACTTTCTGCAGTAGTGTGCAAGTGTGGGTACTTTGCACCGGTGAGGTGCTTTAGACTTCAGCTAAGATGGTAAGCGTGAGCCAGGAAATAGTCCTCTTCTCAGCTCTTTTAATTAGGACATCAAAGCCAGCTTCCCTCTGGCAGGCACCATGGTGATGAAACCAGTCTGCTTAAACCCTGGTTTAACCACTTGGAAACCATGTGACCTCAGGAAAGTTTTTCAGTCACTTGGGGCTTCTGCTGGTTTGTCTGAAAATAGGAAAGCAATGACTACCTTGCAGAATTGTTTAAGATAAGGGTTGGGGGTTTCTAGCAATCAGGGAATGCAAATCAAAACTACATTAAAATTTCATCTCACTCCAGTCAGAATGGTGATTATCAAAAATACAAATAAGGGCCTGGGGTTGTGGCTCAGCAGTAGAGCACTCGCCTAGCACAGGCAATGTGTTGGGTTCTATCCTTAGCACCACATAAAAATAAAAAAATAAAGGTATTGAGTCCAACTACAACTAAAAAAAAATTAAGAAAGAATACAAATAATAACTATTTATTATTTGTGAGGATGTAGGGGAAAAGGTACACTCATACATGTTGGTGGGAGTGCAAATTAGTGCAGCCACTCTGGAAAGCAGTATGGAGATTCCTTAAAAAAAAAAAAAAAAAACTGGGAATAAGGGCTGGGGTTGTAGCTCAGTAGTAGAGCACTTGCCTCAAACTCATGAGGCCCTGGGTTTAATCCTCAGCACCACATTAAATAAATACATAAAAATAAAGATATTGTGTCTATCTACAACTAAAAAAATATTTTTAAAAAACTGGAATAAAACTACCACATGACCCAGCTATCCCACTCCTTGGTATATATCTAAGAGATCTAAAATCTGCATACTATAGAGATATAGCCACATCAATGTTTATAGCAGTATAATTCACCAGTAGCCAAGCTATGGAACCAGGCTAGGTGCTCAACAACAGATGAATTAATAAAGAAAATGTGGAGCTGGTGTTGTGGCTCAGTGGTAGAGCACTTGCCTCTCATGTGTGAGGCACTGGGTTTGATTCTCAGAACCACATAAAAATAAATAATAAGTAAGGTAAAAAAATGTAGATTTAAAATATTTTTTAAAAATGAAAAAAATGTAGTATACATAATGGCATTTTACTCAACCATAAAGAAGAATGAAATTATGTCATTTGCTTGTAAATGGATGGAACTAGAGAACATTATACAAGTGAAGTAAGCCAGACTCAAAAAGTCAGGCATTGAATGTTTTCTCTCATATGTAGAAGCTAGACCAAAATAAGGGGGAGAATAGGAGAATCTCATGAAAATAGAAGAGAGGTCAGTGGAATAGAGAAAATGGATTGAGGGGGAGGGATGAGAGATGGGAAAAGAGAAGAACTGTGGAATGAATCTAACTAAATTTTCCTATGTACTTATATGAATATATCACAGTGAATTTCACTTTTATGTATATTGATAATGTACTAATGCTAAAAAAGAAACTATAAATAAATAGAAGAAATATCAGTAGAGGAAAGGGAACAGGGAGGGAGAAGGGGAGGGAAAGAAGTACTGGGGATTGAACTAGAGTAAATTATATTCTATGCTTGTATAATTATGTTAAAATGAACCCCAAAATTATATATATCTATAATGAACTAATGAAAAAAGGGTTAGGGTGTACCCCAGTGTTAGAGCTCTTCTGAGTTTGATCCTCAACACCATACATACACACACACACACACACACACTCACACACACACACAACACACACACACACACACACAAGAAACAACTCCACAACTTGAGACTTAAGTTTTTTGTTTGTTTGATTGTCCTGGGGAATATAACCCAGGGGCAATTTACCAATTTATCACCAAGATACATCCCCAGCCCTTTTTATTTTTTATTTTGCAACAGGGATTTTCTAAGTCGCTTAGAGCCTCACTAAACTGGTGAGGCTGGCCTTGAACTTGAAAGCCTCCTGCCTCAGCCTCCTGAGCTGCTGAGATTATAGGCCCCCACATCAGGCAAGATGAGACTTGATGACTAGGCAGGGTCATTGCCCCTTGTTAGCCTGAAGCAGCCATAGAAGATGGATCTTCGCCACTCAGCAAGTCTTAAGATTAAGGAAGCAAAGTATGGGGGGAGATAAGATAGAGATTTAGGATCAACAGAAATATACTGAGTTTTAAAGGAAATACCCATGAGCTATTGAGATACAAAAAAATGTTTGGGAACAGTTGTAATTCCTAAACAACGTGCCTTGGTTCTACCCTTGTAAAAAAATGAGATGTTTAATTTTGATCATTGTTTTGATGTTAGCTGACAGTTTCCAGTGTCTGATGAAGGGAGCTGCCTTTTCAAGAATGCAAACTCAGGCTGGGCATCCCAGCAACTTGGGGGACTGAGGCAGGAGGCTCGCAAGTTCAAAGCTAGTCTCAGCAACTTAGTGAGACCCTAAACAATTTACTGAAACCCTATCTCTAAATAAATAAATAGGACTGGGGATGTTGCTCAATGGTTAGGTACCCCCGGGTTAAATCCCCAGTACTTAAAAAATTTTTTTTTTTAAAAAAAGCAAACTTGGAGGATTTTTCTGCAAGTAAGGCATTGTCATCAGAGTAATATAAAGATAGTACTTCTTATTCAAGAGGTACCTTTTCTTCAAGATTTAAAGTAGAGACAAACTTGTAAATACAGTTTTCCCTCCATATTTGCAGGTTCTGCAACTGCAGATTTAACCAATCTTGGATCAAAAAAAATTTTTTTTAATTATGTCTATCTTCCTGGATGCAATGGCACATACCTGTAATTCCAGTGGCTCAGGAGGTGGAGGTAAGAGGATCATGAATTCAAACCCAGTTTCAGCAATTTAGCGAGACCCTAAGCAACTTAGCAAGAGCCTGTCTCAAAATAAACTACAAAAAGGGTTGGGGATGTGGCTCAGTGGGTAAGTAATCCTGGGTTCAATCCCCAATACCACACACACACACACACACACACACACACACACAAAGAAAAGAAACTGTACTGAATATGTACATTTTTTTCTTGTTGTTATTCCCTAAACAATAGAGTATAATAATTATTTATATATCATTTCTATTGGATTAGGTATTACAAGTTATCTTGAAATGATTTAAAGTGTATTGGAGATATTGTTCTAAGTAAATGAACCTCTGAGGAACTGCCAACATGCTTTCTATTCACTAACCTTGTTCCAGATCTGGAGAGCCATACTTCTTTTCAAGCTAAGTTTTGGAGGTTGTAATTATTTCCTTGTTTGTACATGAATTTGTCTAACCTTTTTATTGTTATTGTTGTTCTTTTGTTTGTATCAGTGGATTTCCTGGAGAAACCAGCACATACCCATTGTACTTCAATTTTTGCCAGTGGTCCTAAGTAGAATATTTTAAAATATATTGCAAAGTAGATGTTGACTCCCTTATGCTGCATGCTTTAAGCTATTTTGTCCAATATAGTAACCACTAACCACATATTGCTATTAAGTCCATTTTAAGGACTAGTCCAAATTGACATATGCTGTAACCATAAGATACACACTGCATATCAAAGACTTAAGAAAGAATGTAAAAAGAACTTACAAAAGAAAAAATGTAAACAATCTTGATAATGACTTTTATATTGACAACATATTGGAATGATAATATTTGGGGTACATTCAGCTAAATAAAATACACCATGAAATTTTTGAAAATTAAAGCATATGGGAGCTGTTTTAGCTGTTTTTTTAGTTGTAGATGGACACAATACTTTATTTTGTTTATTTAGTTTTTTTTTTTTTTTAATGTGGTACTGGGGATTGAACCTAGTACCTCATACATGCATGCTAGGCAAGCACCCTACCATTGAGCCACAACCCCAGCCCAATACTACACCATTTTATATAAGGAACTTGAGCAGCCCAGATTTTGGTATCCTCGGATACTGATTCCAGGATCAGTCTTCTGAGGATACCTACTGTATTTGTAAACAAAGCAGATTTAAACAATGTGATATAAGAAAATATACAATATACTATGGGAACATAAAGGAAGGGTCATTTCCAGCCTAGAAAGGTCTCATGGAAGAGGCTTCACTGCCAAATCAAAATGCCTCAAGCTGAACTTGAAACCCCTTCTCCAGACTTCTTTTATCTTTTGTACTGTATTCCTTCTTTCAGAAATGGCTTCCTCATCCATTCAAGTTCCAAGCCTTTGGGAGTCACCTGAATCTCCTCTATGTTCTTTCTTTCCCCATACAATCAAATTGTGTTAAATTTATCTCCTGGATTTTGTTCAAATCCTTCCTCCTCCTACCTCATACCTGCAATTATGTCATCTTTTGCTTTGATCATTGCCAGTCTTCTAACTTGTCTCTCCACCTCCGTGCTTAATTGTCTAAAGCTAATGTCTTGTCAGCCTTTGTACCCTCTCATTCAGCATCTCCCTACCTGGAATCACCTCCATCCTCCATTTTTGTAGCTGTTACTCATTTTCCAAGATACAGGTGAAACATCACCTCCTGTGTAAAGTCTTCCCTACCTGACCCAGAAAAATTGGCCCTTTATAGATAACCTCTCTTAATACATTTGTAAAACACTATTGTATTTCATTAATTATATTTAATCAAACACTATTGTATGGTAATTATCTGGAACTGGGTCTGATATACTTCTGTATCTATAGCACTTTGGCACTAAATAATTGATTGTTGAAGGAATTAATTTTGATGGGATCAAGGACAAATTCATATAAAGTACAAATTAATATTTTGTAAAAGGACAAATTTATTAAGGTGGTGACATTTGAGCAGGATATTCAAGCAGGAACAGAAACTATTATTACCAGCTAAATTGCTTAATCCATCAAAGATTGTTCAGTGACATTTCATTCACATTAGGTCATTATAAACCAGTGTTTCACAAATATAAAACATGAGAATAAAAAAAGTTATATTAAAAATATTTTATTTGCCTATTTTGTTTTTCACTCTGAATGATAACAGAATACCTCACTAGATCCCTGTATGATAATCATTTAAAAGGACTTCAGATTCTGCCTACTTGCTTTCTCATATATTCAGCCAAAACCCTAAAGTTATAACTGTATGCAATTATACTACAGTGAGGGATTCTTCCTTGCTTTGAAGAACAACTTTGTGACAACATTGGTGTAGTCCATAATTTGGTAAAATTATACATATATATACATATGTGTAGTCCATAATTTGGTAAAAATATAAAAATATGTGCAGGAAAGATAGACCATATCCAATCTCAACATGCTGGTTATATCTGGAGAGGGAGGAAAAGGAATGGGATAGCAGTATGAGGATCATCTGATGTTATACTGTGTGTGTTTTTGTTTTGTTTTGTTTTTGAGATGGAGTCTTGTTATGTTGTCAAGGTTGATCTCAAACTCATAGGCTCAAATGATCTTTCTGCCTCAGTCTCCCAAGCAGCAAGGACTATATATATATATATATATATATACACACACACCATTATGCCCAACTGATATACAATGTTTTAATTATTTTTAAAGAGATCTAAATCATGACAATATTAAAATTAAAAATCTGCATGTTTGCTTTTTCCTATGCTTTTGTTTATGTTTGAAGTATTTTAAAACATTGTTTTATAGATTAAAAAAAAGCTTTGTATTAGGAGTCCAGAAACCTGCAGTTCAGTCTGTATTTTACTGTAACCTCAATTTTCCTCAGGTAAGAAAGGCATGGGTGGGGAGAGGACTGGGAAGACAGTAGATACAGATTATCTAAGGCTTTGCCTAATTCTTAGAAAAAAGTAATTCTGACAATCTAGTCATATATAAATTCCTCTACTTATATGTTTATTTGTGACAAAAAGAGTTTCAATATAGAGGCTGATTCTATGGAAAAAGCTAATTTGTTAAAAAGTGTATTATTGTCTGGCTTTTAGGTGTTACTTTTAAATTTACAATGTGTTAATTTTAATCCTTGGGAAAGATATTTAAGGTTCTGTGGGTTTTGCTCATTAGCATTTGAAGGACTAAAATTTTGTGATGATTATTGATGAGCAATCCACCATGACAGAGATGTCACCTATCCTCTTTTCTCCTGTGAGCCAGCTTACAAAGATTTTGCATCTTCTTGTCCTATTTGATCCTCTCAATAATACTGTGAGGGAAGGGTCAGGAGTTCTTAGTATTTGTCAGATTTCCTAGTTAAACATGACAGTTACTGGAAATGAAAATGTAAGAGCCAATATTTCACTTAGAGTCACGGGGAAGAAGATCTGAGGTGATCCAATTTCTAAGCAACTAAGGCCCAATTTCTGGGCTAATTTGTTCCTGTGTGGTGTTTCTGAGGTCAGAAACCACTGTTCTTTCACTGCCATGGTCTATTTCATTGTTGTTATTATTGTCTTTATGTAGACTTAAGTGTCTCACATGAAAATGTTTTGGAATAGAGCACCCAAGCTTACTGAGAATGCATTTGTAGCAGAGCAGGCTAGACCAGGGATAACTGTGACATGTGAGTTTCTTTGTCTCCCTTTTAGCAGTATGAACTATTTGTTCACTGTTTTTGCGTTGGGTCTCTTGTTTCTTTTCTCATGATAAGCCCCACAAAACCTTCTTTACTCTCAGTAAACTTACTTTTTCTTTAAAAAAATATTCTTAAGGTTTTATTTTATTTTTTAAATTTTTTAGTTTTTTGTAATTGGACACAATACCCTTATTTATTTATTTATTTTTATGTGGTGCTAAGGATCGAACCCAGGACCCTGACGCACTAGGCAAATGCTCTACCGCTGAGCCACAACCCCAGCCCCAAGGTTTTATTTTTAATTGACAAAGAATAAGCATATATTCATGAGGTACAATGAGATGCTTCAATAATATGTATTCTGTAGTGATCGAATATATCCATCATCTCAAATATTTACCATTTCTTTGTGGTGTGAATATTGAAAATCCTCTCTTTTGGTTATTCTGAATTTTGAAATGCACTATTGTTAACTATATCAATAAACATCCATAATCTTTCCTAGTGTTAGATGATCTACACTAAAATGCATGGACCAACTCCATTTTATTTAGTAGGAGACTCTTAAAGATCTTACAGGAAGAACCACTGATGCTGAAATGTCAGGCATGAGAAACGGCCCTGAGAGAAATATTTAAGTCAGGAGACCCTCTCATCCCACAGATAACATCATTCAAAGCCTATTTTTCCCTGGAATTTTGTATGTCTGATGCATCTTATGCATTCCAGCTGCTACTGTCCTTGTACAGGCTCTCATCATTTCATAGAGTACTTCAATGAACTCAGTCTTCCAGCCTTTCAACTTCGAATTCACCCTTGACCTTAGTTCCCATGATGATCTGATAGTTTAGGCAAAAGTTGAACATGACATGGCATAAGGCCCTCTTGTTTGGCTCATCTTATGCTGTGCCTCTTCCTCACCCCATACTTTGGGCTCCAGAATTGTCAAATTACTTCCGGTTGATGAACACTCCAAACCTCTATCTTTACTCAGCTCCTTCTTTACCTAGATATTTCCTAATCAAACCTTAAGATTCCAGTGTCTTTTCTTCAGTAAAGCCTTCCTGGTTCTGTAAGAAATGCTCAGGTTTCCACCTCTGTGTTGCCAAAGCACTCTGTGCAGTTAATATTCAATCTGTCGAGTTTCTTAAGAATAGAAGTACAGCACGTCTTTGAATCTACAGTGCTTTGCATCTCACTGGTGCTCAATATGTGGCAGTTGAATCAATTGAATACCATATCAGTATATGTAAATGTTTATGTAGTCATTTGCCAGATCCTTTTTACATATATTAACTCAGAAGTTT